AGCAACTCAAATTAGTTGTCTTACCTCTTCTCTCCTAAATGCATTACCTGAGCAATGGATATCATCCGGCAGGTAAATTACACACAATAGACAAACCAGTGCTGCATCTCAATCGTTCCTGTAATGCAATTGGCCTAATCAGTGGAAATGTTCCAGCATGAATTCATTTACTCCCCCCGGAGCCTCATATTCCCCCTGGGCCTGGAATGTTCACATTGTGGCTGTCTGCTGTTTTGCACTGCTCAGCATTAGTTGCCAAGGAAACCTGCAAATAAAATTTGAAGAGATAGTCGGGTTGCTAATCTGTATCAGCTGTCCTCGCCGCTCTGTAATCCATAAGGCATCTGCCTGGTGGCCTCAGTCAGAGACGCTCACACACCCAGACAGACAGGTCATTTAGACCAGCGCTGCCCGGTCCAGCCAAACAGCAGAGTAAGCTTAGTTAAGCTTAGTGTCGGGAACGTTACCAAACAGTCAGTTCAGTGTATTTAAGAAATAACTGTGGCTTTGGGAGTGGACTGAGAGTGGACAGTAGGGAAGCGTAAGGGTTAATTCATTAATTAGTTTGTGTTTACAGATGTTTTGCCCCTCCCCCTTTTTTCATGAGATATTTCTGAGAAGGCCAAGTTTAAAATGGAAAATAAGTGAAAAACCAAGAGTTTCCAAACTGGAGTGCAAAAAATGATTAAAATATACTGAAAAAATGGGACTCCTAACAACCACCCCCTTCAAAACAGTACTCACCTGTGAGAAGACAACTTAGCGCTATGAGTTTGAAAGGATGTGTAGCTGTCAAGAAGCCTCACTGAGAAAAGGAAACAGACAAAAAAGAAAATAATTTGCAAATCAAGCAAAGAAGCTGCTGGTGTTACTTGCGAGAAGCAGGAAATTCAACCAACTCCTAAGGCTGAACTTCGGAGGTGTGGAAAAATAGGTCACGTTGAAAAACTAAAAGGAAATCCCCTGACAAGAGCTGTAATAAGGACGTCAAAGACCACCTTTCCTTTGTTTCAATCTCAGTCAAAATGGCCAATAAGAATATTCTTACCGAAAAATGAACTCCACTGAAAAATTTACTTGCCAAGCCATGGGCCGGCTGGCAGGCCCAAAGCTTTATTACACACTTCTATAACCTAAGAAAAGCTCCATTAGTTTGCATTGAAGTCCCTGTAGTTACTGAATAATAAGCCTTAGTATGTGAATGTTAGGAATGTTAACCTGGAATGTTAGGGGGTTAAATAAGTGAAGTGTTGTCTCTGACTTTTGCAGTACTACATCACACAGTACTCTGTGTAATAATTTATATAACATATAGTGCTATATGTAAGGTATAAATTACCACAGCGCATGAGTCAACTCACCGTGTCCCAAAGTGGCCCCCGTATTACACATAGGTAGAGGTCTGATTGTGATCAGTTTGTGCTTCAGTCGTGTCTACGTTTTTTGCACCTACCTTACACCATCTCACTCTGCACTCACGTGTATGTAAAGGCATAAAGGGTTATCAGATTAGGATCCAGGAATATGTCTGATGATATAATCTGGGTTAGAGTGTTAATCCTTTAATCACAACATTGTCCTCTGGTTTTAGTAGGAGGGGTTGAGCTTTAAGTCAGCCAGCCGACGAGATAAATGTGCCAGTAGGTCCTCAAATCCTCAAACAATGTCTCTATGAAGAACTTTATGCGCTTTCCTTACTCTGTGACATTCTGTCTCAACTTCTGTTTTAATTATACACATTATTATTTGGCATTCATGCAGATTTCCACAAAGATGTAGCCATTTACAGAGTAAAGAAGTGTGACAGTTGGCCAGATGCAGTGTGTTAGTTCCTTGCAGTAAAATAGTAATGCAGTTAGCAAGGGTGCAAATCCTTGTCTGGCTCTTGATATGAACTCTGTGCATGGTAAAATGGCTCTGCTGTGCACGGTTGGCCTACGGCATACACAATTTTACATGCACCACTCTGTGTGCCTGCAGCACGCTCCATCCGTATTAACACAGGGAACATCTCCACCTGCCTGATCTATATACGGATTTGGTGCTAATTCTCCATGCGCTCCGCTTTAAGTCCCCTTTCCCTGCGTAAAGAGAGATCGTAACTGTGCAAGTCAGTGCATGACGCTCGCCAGGGCCGAGCACACACGTCACTGCTGAACCGCTGAACCGCTGAACTGCTTCACTGAGAGCCTCCTAACTTCCTATAGAGCTTATCAGAGAGATCAGATAGCAAACGCACAGGGGTTGTCCTCAAAGAAACCGTGAAGTCTAAGAAACACTGAAAAAAGCAAGTCAACTATGAACTGGCTGCTAATTTGCTAATTGTGAGTAGTCTGTATCTGTAGGTAACAGCATTTACTGAGCTCTACTGTGTTGTCTAGTTTTGCTAGAGTGGTGTAATAATGCATTGCCAGTGATATTAGTGGAACTACATTGATTGAACAGGCCGGTCAGTGGAGCTGCTCAGTCTCAGTCTACTTTAGAACGCATGATTTCTGGGATTATCACAACCTTTAAATTGGTTACTGTGCATTAGCCACTTTCTAATAAACTTTCTAATAGCAGAAGAGCTTCACTTGAAGCAGTTTGCATTTCAGCCTGTGGTTCTGAGGAGTTCTGGGTCTTGAAAACAGACCCATAATACCCTCAACATCTATACAATCAATGCACATGTATCAAGTAGCAGTGAATAATTACCCGGACTACTGTACACCTAACTGTGCAAAAAATTAACTGTATTATTTTTCATGGAAAATAAAATAGAAGTACACATGCAATATTTGCAACCATCAAATTTAAAATGTTACAAGATGTTTAAATAAAGAAATTATGTCATTAAATTGAATGACATGAAAACACCAGCTGCCCTTTACATTGTGTGAACATTTCATAATGAATGGACCACAATTATCCACAATTACTTGGAATAAAAACTTTAAATAATACATTAACCTCCATTATAAGTACAACATTACTAATTTGAAAATATGAGATTTTGGTTTAATAGCGATAATATGTTATAATGTATATAATATAATAACTCAATGAAAAGATAATAAATGAGGTAAATAAGTTACACACAGGTCTGCAGACACCACCCAGTTCACCTCATAAAGGCCTTTGGGTTGGGATTGCAGTGCTGAGCTGAATCAGGTGAGTTAGAGGTACAGGGCTGTGGTCTGCAGTCTGAACTCACTGAGCATACGGTATCTCCATGTGCTCTGAGCTTTAGAGAGGTTTAGATCAGTGTGACGATGGTGCAGTGAGTGATGATCGATGTTTATGCAGGCGTGACGCCACCACCAGCGTGCTTTTGTCATCAAAGGCACTAATCACTCAGGAATTAATGGATTATTATCCTCAAGTTGCCAGCAGGGGCTCATTGTTCAGTGTGTCATATCTTGGCCTTGTTTTTGTTTAATTTCAAGATCATTTATTACTTTTCAATGAGGTATAACTTATCAGTTACTGGAAATATTCATGAGCAAAAGCAACCTCATTATCATCCTCATTTCACTTGTGTCCCACATGCATACACACACACGTACATACACATATAAGAGTTTAAAGGGCTCACACCCTACAATTTTCTTTCCCCCTGTGTGTTTCTGTTGTATATGTGCAGTCATAGTTCTCATTATTTGATAATTACAACTTCTCTTTATTGCTCAAACTCAAACAGGCTGTTTTTGTTACTGTGCCTTTAAGGCTGATATATGTATATGAGTTCTGTCTGTTCTGGTTGACTGCTCTGTAATGTGCATGGTTCAAAAAGCAGCCTGAAACACTCCTTATAACTTCAATGTGAATAGGTGGAGCTTAGGCTTACCTTTGGCTGAAAATGCAGCTTTATGTAAATATGTTTTTTGTGACATCACATAAACAATTAATTTAAAATAGGCTGTTTGTACAGCTTAGTTTCAATATATGTGTGGGTACATTCTGCAACTTTACATTTGTTTGCACTCTGCATCAAAACTCCAAAAAGTCTGGGCAAAAACTCATTTTTCTGTGATATGGGCCCTTTAAAAATGTGCATTTGCTCACTGTTTCTTATACACTGAGACGCTGGTGCATTAGAGCTGTGATTGTGATTGAGTGCAATGATATCAGTCTGCGCTCTGCACCCCAAACACAGGACCCCCCTAACAAAATGCACCTTGTTTGTGCCACCGGCGACATCTATCTGCCGTGCAGTCCGGCATTTCTGCAGGAGTCTGAATTTCCTGCCCACTGCCCAGAGACACCTGTTTCCAATCTCTGCATCAGTGGCGTGGAGTGCAGTTACAACACAGCAGATAGAGCGTTAGAGGATCTAGATAATAAAATAAATAAAACACATAAAATGCGGTGAGATAGATAGATAGATAGATAGATAGATAGATAGATAGATAGATAGATAGAGCTCCAGATCAAACGAGAGAGAGAGAGAGAGAGAGAGAGAGAGAGAGAGAGAACGTTAAACACAATAGGATCCCAATAGCAGCATATAGTTGTGAGGAGTCGCAGCAGCTCGTACATTTGAAGCTCCAGTCCAGATCAAACTGAGCTGAGAGAGAGAGAGAGAGAGAGAGAGAGAGAGACTGAGAGAGAGACTGAGAGAGAGAGAGAGAGAGAGACTGAGAGAGAGAGAGAGAGAGACTGAGAGAGGGACTAAGAGGGAATCCCTCCGCCGGGACCTGTAGGAAACCCATGCGCGTGTGCGCACTGACGCAACTGCCCATTTTAGGAAAGAACGTCAATGGCCGAAACCAACTGAGGCAGAGAAGAGGGGGGAGCGCGAGCAGCCACACGAGCTCAAAACTCCCACAAATCACCTTGATCTCACTTTAAACTCGGTCTACTGCGCTCGATAAAGTCTGTTAATACTTTCCTCCACATCTCTGCGAAAGCGTGTCTGACCGAACGGCGATCTTTGCGCTGAACGCTCACTCGCCCCCTCACTGACGTCGGACTTGGTCTCGGACCGAGTGCGCAGATTGGCGTTGAAAAGCAGTTGCGAAGCGCAGTAGTGCCATTGGAGTGAGTCATCGCGCAGAAAGGTGGACGCGCAGAGCGAGCAGGAGGGCAGAAAGAGGAAAAAAGAGAAAAAGGACGCGCATCTGAAAAGGTGAAGGTAGCGCTGTCGCTCCTTTGAGTCATATCGCCAAAAACGGGACAAAAACAGGGACGAAACCTGCGCCGAGTTTCATTTACAGAAAGTAGGTGCACAAGAGACATTTTAGTTCATTGTAAAGAGAAAAAAAAGATTTTCGTAGAAGTTTTTATTAGTCACTCTAGCTTTGGTTTACAGCGGGGGAGGCACCTTTACTTTTTTAATTTTTTAATCACAACCTGTTTACTGGACTAAACGAACACTTGCAAGACTGCAGTTCTCTGATTTATAACAGTATAACTTACATCCGGATTTGTAGACCTGTTTGACCATTTTATAGCCTGATTGTTTGGATATTAGACTGCTTTTAATTCACATTAGGCTTTCTTAGCTCACGCTAAGGGACCTCAACTGTGGGTTTTTTTGCTTGGAAGTGCAAGAAGACACTCTAAACGTGTGGGAGATCACTACCAACCTCTGAAATTTGCCTATTTTTTTTTTATTATTTTGCTGGATCATGTACCAGGAGTACTCCGGGAGCAGCAGCAGCGCCTCCCCGGGCCAGCAGGACTCCTTCCCCAGCGGGAGCCCCCTCTCAGCCTCCAGCTACCAGGTACAGTCCCACCACCTCCACCACCACCACCGGGCCCTACACAGCTCGGCTAGGCCACTGCACACACCTGTAGGCACGGGGCTGCTGTCCACCCGGTGTCAGGGAGTCAGGCAGAGCCTCTTAACAGCACTTCCAGTACCTTACTGAGCTTTATTCTCTGTTGGGTCCACTGCCAATGGAAAATAACACCACACTCGTTGTTTAAAATTAAAAGTAAGCTAATCGACCTGGATGCCTTCAGAATTTAAGTTGAATCTTCAACACAGTTGATCTCCAGTAAAAGTTTGCTTTACCAAAAAGGAATCAGAAAAAAAATGGATTAAATTAAATTGATTTCATTTTTTATTCTGGACTGAAGTGTTCTTATAGATTATAGTGCAATATAATTTTAATGCAGTGACATTCACACCATTTAATAAGTACAATTCAATCTCCCCTGTGCTAAAATCACATTATTCATAAACCAGAATAGTTTCTTTCTAAAGGAATGCACTGAATTTATATATATATAATATATATATATATATATGTATGTATGTATGTATGTATGTATGTGTGTGTGTGTATATACATATATATATATATATATATATATATATATATATATATATATATATATATATATATATATATATATATAAACGTATGTATGTAATGTGTGTATATAACAACTAAATGGAGGGGCACCACACCAAAAATCCCCCGTTTAATTAATTTTACAGTGTTTATTTGTGTCCAGATGGACTTTAATTAACACTGTAGCTGTTAATTCATCACTGTTGGGTGTTAATTCAGCACTGTAGATGTTAACGGTTGAGGCTTGTAATATATATTAACGGTTGAGTCTTATACATGCAGTAGAGACAGGGAATAAGCCTTGATGTGCGGTTATATGATTTTCTGAGCTGAAGTGTGTGTGGGTGGTGGGCGTAAATGTGAAAGCAGCCCACCGAGACTGCGCACACACTGACCGCAGGATGCTCTCCACTTCCACTGCCACAGTACACTCAACTCTGAAATCATATCAAACGTAATGCGGCTCTGAGATGACATGTGTCGGAAACCATAGCCTAGAGCCAGAGAACAGACAGAACGCGCCTTACAGCCGCGAGAAATAAGCAGCTTCTGAGTTTGAGTGTCTATAATAAGCCTTACAGCTGTAAAATAACACGTACTGCCCGAATAAAGCGCTGCTTACTATTAGTTTGGATGAGTATTACAACAGCTGTCTTAAGGAAATTGCTTCATTATTTCTGGGAAGATGCTTATTTTGCGCTCCAGTGTAAAATAAAGGCACTTTTGTTACCGTCGTGCGTCAGACCTTTGGCATTTCTCTTTTTTTTAACATCATTTGAGCCACTTCCGGGGGACTGCGTGCAGTTCTCAAGTGCAAATCGTCCATAAACTCCCCACAGACATTCACATAAAACCACATAACTCATAAAGCCCGTTTGTCCCATAACCCATAGAGACTGCGTGCGTTTAATAGGACGAGCCAGTTTCCATAGTCTGTGCACGGAGGTCACAGATTTATCAATATTTGGTACTGAAAGAAACACTCAGAGATCATTTCTAAAAGAACTGCGCGAAGTTGCTAAAGTTTGTGAGAAAGTTGAGAAGCGCTCCGCAGATCAGAGTTAAACAGTTCCAGAGAAAAGGCAGCGTGTCTTAGCTCCCGGTTTTTCCCCACCACCAGCGGTCACACAAACCCCGCCCACTGTGTTGGGATTGGCAGTAAGCCCCCGCCCCCCTGCGCTGGGATTGGCACGAAAGCCCTGCCCCCTGCGCTAGGACTGGCTACTGGTTCGCTCTCATGAGCAGCGCGCCGATTGGACAGTTGAGAAAGTCACCATAGCAACCGTAGAAAACAGTGGAACTTGAGAGCTCACAGAAATAAGGAAAATCTCTGGAACAGCCAGAACAAATAAATAATCGATAATTAATCTCAGTTCAGCATCACTAACTAGATTTAAAGCAAAATAGAAAGACTGGTAAATTTGCATATTTAAATTAGGAGCTCTAACCACCAGCCAGTCCCTGCTTAGGAGGTGGGATTGTCTGAATACAAGTGCGGAAATATACACATATATATCTATATATCTATATCTATATCTATCTATCTATATCTATCTATCTATCTATCTATCTATCTATATATATATATATATATATATATATATATATATAATACATACGTAGTTATATAGTTATGATGTCTAAACTTGATGAATTCCAGAGAATGGACATAAAAAAAACACTCATGTGAAAGTACTTTATGAGAAGAAGAGCAGAACAGCTCTCTCTGAATGGAGCCCAAACGTTGGGCTTGGCACCGAGTCCTGGTATTTTGTGATTTCCAGAAATGACGTGGTCCAGCACAGAGCAGCTGACTTGCTGTAAATGAAGCCCCTTAAACCACCTTCCCGTTAGAAATCCCTCTGGGATGTGGGAATGTGAGGGAATTCTCACTCCTGCCATCACTAAATATAACACATTTCCCGACTTACTGGAAAGAATTTGTGTAATTTAACACTTTGGCATGACTCAGATAAGCAGTTCCACCAACTTTAACTCCGCAGTGTTACATATTAATCATGTTTTTGATAAGTGGGCAGGTTAATGAGTAGCCTTTGTCTGTGGGTAACACATTCAACAACAAAACAAGCTCCAGTGACTGAGCTCTAACTCAGGATGAAATGACCTGAGAGAGACTTGGGTTCAGGTTCAGTTATTTGGGAAAATAGTGATTATGCATTGATAAGAGAGCAGAAATGCACAGGAGTAGTGCGCACCTACATAGTCTTTCCATTTAGTGCCTTTAATACATTTCTAAAACATTTCCTTTGTTTTTTTCTGATTCCGTTGTGTACGGGTCACAGCTTGAATGTGAAGTAACCATCTTTTCTGCTCGATTTCCACACACTGAGTGACTCTGTTTCCCGTTGCATCACTGAGGCCATTATCTTAACCCTAATGGGCTGCTGTCAGAGAGGACTATGGGCTTTCCCATGATTCACTGAGTGTGTCATCGTGTCGCTATGAGGGTCATGCAGACGAGGGACTGCAGTCAGAGCTGCTGCACAAAGTGATTCATTACTCTGTGATGATGGTGGTGCATGGAGCAGATAAATGGTAGATGGAGTGATGCGAGTCACATCACAAAACTTAAGAACAAATTACACAGATTTGTCAAAGGGCTAAATCCATTAGAGCAGGGGTGCATAAACTTTTGGTCTTAGGGGCCAAAGTACAATGTTTGTGGTGGGTCAAGGGCCAAAAAGTCCAATAAATAGACAAATAAAGAAGTTTGATAGGTTTTAAATCGAGTTTTAATACATACTAACTTTAAAAAATACACTGTTAGAAGAATTTATATATAGTATCTATACAGTTATATGCAGAAGTTTGAATATCAGCTGTCAAATGACATGTTTTGTTGATTTACTAAGTCAAAAGAAGTGACACATCATCTACAGGGACCAAACCTAAATACGACACTGTATACTGTAACTGTACAGTATAATTATTTATTATTCTGCACAATTTGGTGCACAATTTCTGTTTATTTGCTAAATTTAACACATCATAAAAGAAAGAAAACATAAAATGTGCCATAATTTTTGCCCAAGCCACATTTTAAAATCACAAAATCAACAAAACATGTCATGTGACCTTGGGAACCCAAACTTCTGCATACCACTGTATGTTTTCTGTCTCACTGAGTGAGGGAGTGGGGTTTGGATAGCTTTCTGGAGGGCTGAATCAAACGTCCTCACACTTTGGGCAGCCCTGCTTTAGAGAGTTTGACTCTTTTCCAAGACAGTTCAGTGCTCTCATCACTTCCCTATCTCCCCCCCCGCACCCCTCTTTTCTTCTGCAGAAGTACAGAGTCGACATGCCTGGCTCTAGTAGTGCCTTTATTCCCACCATTAACGCCATAACCACCAGCCAGGACCTGCAGTGGATGGTCCAGCCCACAGTCATCACCTCCATGTCCAACCCATACTCACGCTCACACCCGTACGGCCTGCCTGTGTCCAGCGGCCCCGGACTCCTCGGCCACACCGCCCTCGCACGACCTGGGGTCATCCGCTCCATCGGTGACGCTCGCGGACGACGCAAAAGAGATGAGCAGGTGAGCGCTGCTGTTTTAGTACAGACCTTTCTGTTCTTATTCATAGTACATAGATTAGTAGCTCATACAGTGTATATAATTATACACTAGCTAGACATTAGCTAGACATCAAACATCACTGTCCCACAAAAACATGTGTCTCCATTTTTGTTGATTTTTTATTTGTCTACATTGTTTGAGAATGGCAGTTGTCCTTTACATTGTGTGGACATTTCTTGATAAATGGACCAACAGAAATGCTGCAAAATTACTTAAAAATCTCTTTACCATAGCTTACATTAAAAGTTAAGGTTTTTACTTTCTCCTGTGAAGTGACTGTTTAAATGATAAATAATATAATATAATAATCTGTTTATAGGTCAAGTTGTCTAACTCGAGATTTGATCTACTTTAAAATATGATGCATTCTGAATGTGGCTTTTATTATAGCTTCATTCTCAGTCTTACATGTATTACATGTTTTGCTGATTTTCTGAGATGAAAATAAGTTAACATCCTCTACAGAGAACTGTAATACACAATTACTGTTTATTTGCTGAATTGAACATTTTAACATTTATATTTAATGTTTTTCAAATATGTTAAACTCAGCAACAGTTTAACTACTTTAACTTAAATCATATTTAAGGTTGCTCCCTGTAGTGGAAGTGTTAACCTATTTTCAATCAACAAAACATGTGATTTGACCAATGGTGTTCAAACATTTGCATACAATTATTTTATTTTAATTATTTTATTAATCTGTCTACAACCAGATTGGCTTTATATCATTGAAAACATTGATTCCAAACTTTTGAACAGTCGTGCATAAGACTTTGTACAAAATGTAGTCCACTGTGAATGATAACTGCTGAGCAGAGAGGCAGATGCCAGTGGATATTTTTGTTTCTGTATGAAAGCTCATCGCTCCTGTTGTTCATTACAGCTGACGCCAGAGGAAGAGGAAAAAAGGAGAGTGAGACGAGAGAGGAACAAGCTGGCTGCGGCTAAGTGCCGAAATCGGAGGAGAGAGCTGACCGAGATGCTGCAAGGGGTGAGTTTCTAGTCATTTTAAACAAGAATGTATCTACCATACACAAAAACATACATGAGGGAACATAGAAAGTGTCTGCAGAAGTAGCACCATGGAAACCTCAGGGCTCATGTTAAAGCACTCTTAGAAAAAAAGATTTAAATGCCTGTTTGAATACTTCTGGAAGAAGGGGTTTAATTGAATGCAGCAGTTTGAGTCCATCTGGTCTTTTTCAGGTTTATTTTTTGCAACTAGTTATTATGTTAAAGTGTATAAGAGAGGGAAGTTACGTCAGTGGCCCCGCACTTTTAGCTGCTCTTGCCCGCAGTCAGAAGTGCAGCTATAAAAGCCCAATGTTGTCTGGCAGCACGTGGGAATGCCCCCTCGTCCAGACGATATGTGCTGTAATTGAACTAATTAGCTCCACAATGCCATCTCTCAAGCTGTCCGACCGAAACCACGAGGGAGGAATGTGCTGCAGGGGGTGGACGAGACCAAATGTCTGATACTGTGAAGAAGAAACCACACAAGCCATCAGAACGTACACATTGCTATCTCCCTTCACTTCCCTTCCTTTGCCTCCCCCTCCTTCTCTGCTTCAGTCTTCACCAAATAAGGAGCTATCATAAAGCTTTGATGGCAGGGTGCTCTTTGCCATCTCCCATCTTCTTTCTCTTTCTTTCTTTGTAATGGTGGAGGCTACTTTGCTTTTAGTTTCCTTCTTCCTCATACCAACACACATAGACAGCCTGCGATTTATCTCTGGTCGTCTAGTCAGGCTGTCTGGGTCTGTTTAACCCCCCAACCCCAGAGGGTGAGAGGGTGTGGCAAAACAGTTATGGAATAAACCCAGCAATGCACACTACCAATTTGAGCCTTTAAAAGTGGGGGCACCGCATGTATGTTCGCACTTCAGTTCCTTGCACTCATTACTACATAACTACATATTAGTTACATAGTAATTACAGCATAATGTATAGTAGTTGTTGAAGAATAGTGTCTTAAGATCAATAACTGAATGATAAGCTGTAATAAGCAATAATACTCCATTAATAACTTAATTAATAATTAATTAGCTCCTTAAATAGGATTGCATGCGAGTGGCAACAGTCGTGGTAGATCAGAAAGTACAGAGTGTTGGGGATTATTTGGTGTTAGGGTGTGGCATATATGGCACTGAGGTCATAGAGTTCAAACAGGGATAGGCCCTGTGAGCAGACACTGTGCAGATTTATCTGCTCTGTTCCCTCGGGTGTACCTTACACCCACTTATTGTAAATTTACAACGAGTGACTATAACCTCATGTACACCACCCTTGTAGTTATCAAGAGTGACTGAAGGAACTTGTTCTTTAAAAAGTTGACAAAAAGTTTTTTTTTTTTGGAGTAATGTGATAAAATAACAACTTTTAGCTCAAGTACAGAAAACATACAGCTCTTTATATACAAAAAGTAAAAGAACTAAATGTGTGTTTTTTGTTTATTGAAACTTTTCAGCTCATTTTTTGTGCCTTTTTTGTGTTTTTCTAAATAAAGGAGACTGAAAAGTTGGAGGAGGAGAAAGCTGACCTACAGAAAGAGATTGAGACACTGCAGAAGGAGAAGGACAAGCTGGAGTTCATGCTGGTGGCCCACAACCCGGTCTGCAAGCTGCCTCCAGACGAACGCCACCAGGGGTCACTTCCCCAGCAGTGCACCCCTCTCCCCTTGACCATGCGCCCTGGCCTGGGCTCACGGGGCCCGCTCAACACCCTGAGCCCGGTGGTGGTGAAGCAGGAGCCCATGGAGGATGACTACGAGGAAGACGAGAGCAAAAGCCAGCACTCGGTCATCAAGCCCATCTGCCTGGGCGGGGGCGCATACTGCTCTGACGGCGACAGCCTAAACACTCCCGTGGTGGCCGCGTCCACTCCGGTGTCCACCCCCAGCAACCCCAGCCTCATCTTCACCTACCCCAGCATGCTGGAACCCGAAAGCCCCTCGCCATCTTCAGAGTCTTGCTCCAAAGCCCACCGGCGCAGCAGCAGCAGTGGAGACCAGTCGTCAGACTCGCTCAACTCGCCCACCCTGCTGGCTCTCTGAGTCGCAGCCCAGCCGCACTCTTTCATCCCCAGCTGGGAACCGTCCCAGGACCTCATCTCTACAAAGCCGAGAACCCTCAAGGGCTAGTTTGCTCGTTTTATTTAAAATGTCTCAGAAGGGATTTTTTTTTCCGTTTGTTTTGTTTATGTGTTTGTGAGAATCAAACATTTTCACCCACGACGACAAAGAACAACAAGGCTGGACTGGAATTGAGACCAGAATTGAGACTTAACACAAGAACGAAGAGGAGACCTTTGGTTTTCCTCTGATCGCGCTCGCCGTGTTCGGTCGCGAGCATTCGATAACACCATTCGAAAAAGTGTTTTTCCCATCGTTTGGGAAAAGACAGGGACAGCGAAAAGGGGTTGGGGAAGCCCCCGTTCGGTACAGTCTGGGATCGGACACTACAGAGTTAGGTGGACGTCCTCAACAAACCAGCTTGACATTTACATTGACTGCCCTTTGTATTTATGACCTATGTGAATATATTGTCCGGTTGTATATTGTGTCCTGCTGTTTAAAACATGTCAAGGGTTCACTGGATGAGCCTCAGTGTCTCAAAGAGAAAGAAACAAACGTGTATTATTAAAGGCTGACCTCTTCGACTTTATCAATACCTGGCACAGGAACCATGGTAATGTTGCAAACTTTTACATTATTTTTGCTATGTATATTAAAAAGAAAAAAAGAAACACTTCACTGAATTTATTGTCAGGGATTTTTGTCTGTGTGAGTGAGCCACACAAGCATTACTAAAAGCAATTGCACACAGCGTACAAAACATGTCAGAACACAGGGGTATGTACCTGAGGACAAACTCTAGCCATATTAGGTTCAGCCTCCAACCCTTTACAAGGCAATACTGCTTTCTATTGGGCAGACACTGTGGTATTAAAATGGAAATAATGATTATGACTATGTATTACTTTTCTAACGTACTTTCACGGCTTGATCGATAGATGTCGTTTTTTGCAGACTTGTAGAGTTTGAAGCCAAATGGACACCCTCAAACACTGGGCGAGCCTCAACCGCCAGACATGGGACCAGATGCACTTTGTTACTGATCACAAAAAAAAAAACAGCGGCATTCCTTTTACAGTCGAACGTAGAAAGAACGAGCTGAATGCCTGCCAGGAATCACGGACGTGATGCTGAGACACTTCTAATTTCTTGCTAGTGCGAAGAACTGATATCAGTTGCAATATTTCTGAACTGTTTACTTCAAACATTCCTTTGGGAAGCGGACGGGATAGTGCTGTATCGGAGAGCGCTGTCATCTTTGCCAGACCAAAGCGGAATAATGCTGGGGTAGATCTGAAGGAATCTTCTTTGTTGCTTATTTATGTTGGGAATTTTTCAAGGCCACCAAGGATCTGGAAGAGAATTACGATTTTTCTAATGAACGAGAGAGAATAAAGGAATATAGTGGAGAAAATCAGTTGAATACCAAAAAAAAAAACAAAGTGCGTGACGACTTGAGTTGTAACCAGTCTGTCTGTCAGTCTTTGGACCCTTAAAGATCTTTAAGCAAGCCATCTATGAACCCCTCTGTACATGTCCTGCTTTCCAATCTTTTCTCCTTTTAATTGCTTTATCTGTTTTAAAGACAGAAAACAACAACAAAAACAGCAATATGTATGTCAGTGTTTGTTCCTTTGGTTATTTAAATGGATTATGATAATAATAAACAAAACAAAACAAAAAAAAAACATGCAAATGGTATTCTTGATAGTTGTACTTTGCTTGTCCACACAGTTTGATTATGTTGGTGGGTATCTCATGATTGTTAGACTTTGCTACTTCTCTGTTTTTTTTTTCTTAAGTCGGTCTATATTTGGCTGAATGCACCTCTCTCATCCGTCGGTAAGCCATTCGCTACCAGTTTTCCACAGGCAATAACACTCCATCACCCTCCATAGTGCCTCTATTCAGTCAGTGACATATAGTTGTATGCAAACCTGCACTACTTATAAGACAAATTGGCAATAGCTAGTGTGTCATTGGTACCATTTTTTTGTCCCAAGAGCATTTTACATCACAAAAATCACCATTTCAAATCAAATGCTTCACTAACAGCCATGAATTATACAGGGCTTCATACATAATCTGTGATCCTGCATATTGGAACTATTGCTAAGATACAGCTGGTCCCTTCTGGGGCTCAAGCCACGTGAGCCATCAAAGACACGTGGCGTTGAGGAGATCTTACCATGTTCATGTAAAATTGAGAATTTCCATTCGGAATGATATGCGGACATACGTGAAGCACGTGGTTCTAAACCTCCGACGCTAAAAGCATCCTGGTGGGCAAGGTGCATTCGGTACCTGATATTATGTCACTTTTATGAACATGAATGGATGGCTCAGTATTTCACTTGATCAAATGATGTAATAAATCCTGATTCTTTACTAAGTTGACATCTTGGTGTTAGGAGTGAAATCTATTTCAGAATCATTCAAGAGCTTTTACAGTTGTGTTTGGAGCTGTATGTGTCTGTTGTGAAAATGTCTTACTTTCAAATAAATAAGTAAATGAATAAACAAACAAGATATTGTGGTTTGTTTTACTTCATTTGTTATGCAATTCTCACTTCCTTTCATTCATTTCTTTGCTTATTCCGGTCACACATCAGGGCCTAAAGCAATCCTATGCTGGTAATTCATACTGATTATTGCCGTGTTATTCCAGTGAATCAGGTCCAGCGTCAGTTTTGCAATTCACTGTGTTGCAATAGCTGCTCAGAAATGAGCTCTTGGATGAAGCCCAACAGCACAACAATAAAAGAGGCTGATATGAAAATGAACATCCTACGGTATAAATACAGGAAATGTCACTTCAGAATCGTTTGGATTTGTTCACAGTGGCCCCAAGATGAGAGCGCAGAAGCACTGCGGATAGAGAGGTGACTTAGTGTGGTCCGTGCTGTGAGCTATGACTGACCATGCTGTCATGATTTTGAGATTAGATCACCAAAACAAGGGCTAATAGGTACTTGTAAATGTTCAAATACTTGCTTTACACTCTCAAAAAAAAGGTATGAAAATGTCACTGGGGCAGTACCCTTCTTGTCACTGGGGTGGTCCTCTGAAGGGTACATCTCAGTACCTTTAGTCAGGGAACATAACTGTACCATAATCCATTGAAATTATATTTTATAAGTTTCATTGACTCCACACACCCCATCTTGTAGGTGTTGAGGCTATGAATAGATACAAATACGTACTTTTCACCTGGAAAAACTTATTTAAGGTTCACAATCAGACCTTAAAACCACTGTTGTACCTTTGAGGGAACATTTACATTGTTTGTACCTTGATAAATAAAAAATGTACCTGCACAGAACCTTTATTTCAAACAGTGTAAAGAAACAAGATCGTTATTTATTTATATTTTTGATTGTTTCAGTTTTTAAATACCGTGATAAATTGGCTTATTACACTACTGAAGTGGTATTTACTGACAGGCTAATTAAGATTACAATGAAATTTAATGTGCATGAAAAAAGTAAAATAAAGTTTCAGCACCCCTGGTCAAATGACGTTTTGTTGACTTTCTAAATGAAAATAAACTTAAATATAGTATTGTTCTGCACATTTTAGTGCACAGTTTCTACATATTTGGTGAGTTTAACATATGGAAATAAAACACAAAATATAACATGTGCCATAATACCAAATATGTTAAATTCAGCAAATAACCAGTAATGGTGCATTAAAATGTGCAGATGTGTGTTCCCTGTAGAGGATATGTTATACTTATTTTCACTTAGAAAAACAACAAACATGTAATTTGTCATACAAATATGTATGTATATATAATGCTAAGCAAATGTCATGTCTTAGGTGCCCAGAGTAATTCTGCAATACACATTTATTTGCTTAGAAAAACACTAATATTAGAATAAGTACAAATAATATTAATACAATAAGTGGTGATTTCATATCAATGTGTGTTCGTAACTGTTTCCAAACGTCTCCTCATGGCAGCCTAGTATTGTTTGTGGTTCCTTAATGGCTAATCAATCCTTTCCTAAATTAAATCAGATTCTCCTGATGGACAAATCCATACGATGGCTGAGGGCATAGAGGAGAAAACTGGACATAATGTGTGTTTTTCCAACTAGCTCACAAGATCTCAACAAATTTTTTGAAAACAAGAAACTGTTACTTTTTACTGCATTAATGTTTATTTGTATTTATTCCAATGTTGTCTTATGTTTTTACTGGCAAAGGTTGTAATTAGTTGTAGTTAGTTTCAAGTTGTAACTGATTCAAACAGTGTGATTAAAGGACTTTTACACAAAGTAATCACATGTAACACAGTAATCATGACCCATGCTTTTAGGGGAAAGTGTGTCAAAACAGTCCAGTCTAAATAAAGAGGCTGTTTGGTCATTTTGACCTGCCAATTGCATGACAGTTACATTGCATAAACTCACTCTTCATAGTCTAAAGTTTGTTTATCTGAGAAAGATGACTATCTTCTTCATCCTGAGTAAAAATTTCCAGGAGGCCTCTTCGTTATTCTCATTAAGATGGAGAAAATGAAGTGTTATGGAAATATATTGATACGCTTCAAATGTGAACAAAAGTTACCAAAAATGTTCCTCCCCTGACCTTTACCATAGTTCAGTGTGGGCAGTAAGGCCACGCTGGACTCATTCTATGGGTCACAGTCATTGCATTCCGACACTGAACGGGCTATGATATGACCTAAACTAAGCAATATATTAACATGCACTGCCATCTAGTGACACTGTTTGAAATAACACTTTTTCAAAATACTGAGAAGTCTTCTAGGATCAGTGCAGCACAACCTCCAAACATTTCTTGCAGGTTCAAGACAGAAAGTGGTTTCAACTACATGTTTGACCCACAGAGTTTTAGTGTAATGAACACTCGAATAAAAGTCTATATGGAATATATAAAACCACTGTAGATGTGAATCCTGCCCACGGATTAAATGTGTTCAACCATTTATAACCATAAAAAGATACTCTTAGACATTTGATGGTGTCAACTGTCTTGTGGTAAACAAAACAAATAATCCTTGGTTCTTTGCCACTATGCAAGTTGAAAGAAAAAAAAGTAACCCAAAGTCCAAGCTGAGAGGAACCGGGTTGAGGTTTGCACTCTTTTTTACCTCCAGTTTAGAAGGTTAATTCATTTCAAATGTTCATTTTTAATCAAAGGTTCATTTAATTCTATTTAATTTAAAGAAAACTGCTGACATATTTCAGCAAATATGAGTCTTAATTAGAACATTCCCTACATAAATAATAGATGTTCTTCATGTATGACATTTGGTGGTTTTTAACCTCTGTGGCACAATTTTAATGAAAATATCAACATCTAAAATTTGCAACAGAATCATAAGCTGTAAGACAGTCTCTAAAGATGCTAAGGACCCTGGACAAAACATTGATGACCATAATTTCTGCATCATTTCTTCTCTAATATTTGGTTACGCAACTCTTTACCTTAATGACAGGGCCAATTCTGTCAGGTTAGGAAAACACCAGCCTTATAAGATTCCTGTCCATTTTAGCCCATGTGTCCAGGCCAAACACAACAGTGACACTCCCATAGTCTCAGAAATACAGATATTAAACTGTAACTGTCTTCAGTATCTTTTGTCCGGAAACGTAACTGTTCCATTTTCCATTATGTTGTATCTTTTAAGTCGTACTGACTCCACACACCCTGCCTTGTCTTCAGGCTTTTTATTTTATTGTTCTAGTTTTAAACATTGGCTTACAGGCACACAGGAACAGAAATGTGCACCCAGTTTATGGATGAGTGGACCAGAGTGGACTAGAGTGGACAGGAGACTGGTGAGCTCCTTACCAGACTGGACTGATGGAGTTATTAAGACAGGAAGATGTGTAATCAAGTATTAGAAAAGAAACGTTACATGTGACTAATGTTTTCTCCCCGGTAAGCTTGTGTACAGTCATATGCAAATGTTTCTAAGTGATAAGTTAACACAATCTCAACAGAGAACATTAAAAAATGTCACATTTAAAAACTTTTCTTTCACCTCTTTTAATTAAAAATATAAGACTAATGTCAAACATCTGGTCTCATCAAATAAGCCAGTGGTGTCACCAGGATCTTATGCCCCACATCAAGCGAAAACTTGAAGAAGCGAGATCTGCAACCTCACCACTAGATGCCACTAAATCTTACTCACTGCTCCTTTAATGGATGTGGCTCCTCTAATGTAGTTCATCTTTAGTGCAGCTGGCCTGGACAGTCCAACTGACAGATCAGGCTACTGGCTGGAAAATCTCCTCGTACTCCCCATGGGCAGTCCGAGCCAAGAGGGGCTAAATATTTTTTGAATAGTGCTCTATATGCATCAAAAAGGGTTCTTCTGTTCTTCAGCCTTGTTACAATAAAAGAACCCTTTTCGGTGCTGTATAAAACACTTTTGAAAAAGGTTCTATATAGAACCATTTACAGCACATTCTCCATCAATCTGAAGAACACTTTCACAATGTAATGATGCCAATGTCACTTTTTTTTTTTTTTACTAAAGAACCCTTGAAGAACCATCAAGTTTAAGTGTGTGTGTTAAAACTCATGTGACTGTGTGGTCGATGTGCTTGTTAAGGGAAATTAGCCAGCTGTGCTGCTCTTTTCTGAAGCTGGTTAGCCAGTAGTAATGAGCTGTGCCCAGTCATCTAGGCTATGTAGAGGATACCTCAGGATTTCTTAAACACAATAGGGATTCCCAGTGGTTGGTGTAATGCACACTGAGTACTGTAAAAAGAAAGTATTGAAACACAAAAATCATACAAAGCATGAATTTTTTCAGAATGTCCAGCTTTATGGATACGACTCTGACTTACAGAGTACTACATGACTGTCAAGTAATCTCTTATTTAGTGTCAGAACGCTGCATTAGTCATGTTGGAAAGCTGTCAAGCAACATGCCTGCACCATGATGTTAAACTGTCAGTTATAGCTGTGGCAGGTGAGGGGGTCCACATCTCGGTTTCCCAGAGGGATATGAGGTTGTGCCTTTCAAGATGGCAGAACATATACCCTCATATAAAATTTGATGTCATATTTTTTTTTTCCTGAAATACATTTACAGTGCCAATCCAGTTAGCTTTTCTACATCTGCATGACATGGTGTGTCTACAAGAGCTTACTTTTTATGACTATTTTACTAGTTAGCAAGAACCCATTTTCTTTACATTCATACAAAACATTTCTCTACAATTTCTCTGTGCATGATGCATATTATAATGTCTACATTTATGATGGTGGAAATATGTCAGTCCAACTCATGAGCATGTGCCTGTACTTCTTTTCAGTGGAAGGTCATTTTACTTTTTGTACACTAGAGGACAACAACAGCTTTAACTAACTTCCTGTGGGCAAACTGGAAAAAGTGAGACTGCTTGTGACTTTACTAGACCTTTTAGTTAAACATTAACATTTCTTGTTGTATTTTACTTTCCACCAGATTTTCCCCTACCACAGCTTTCAAGTTCAACCTCATCTTAATTGGACAGTATCTCCAATGCAGTAAAAACATTAGTTTAGACAAAATAAGGCCTAGATGGGCTAACAGGCAGGCCATATTTTATCTATGTTTAAATTTCGGTGTAGATTTCATAGCATGAAAAACCAAAAACATCAAAAGTAGCCTATAATCCCTATTTAAATGCTTTTGCTTTGCGTGTCAAAGACCATGCTGGTTTTAATGGTTTGTTTCAAAGGTGACACTGTGGTTTCATCTGCTGTTGAATTTTAAAGACCAAAGGAACCTAAACCTGTACTTTTGTTCTAATTAGCTTGTTCTTGCAGGCAAACACTAAACATGTACTAAGTATACCCTTTGAATAATGTTCCAATGACCAATAAATGACCGTTATAGTTCATCATGGCTGTGTTCAGCTCAGACAGAACACAGCAAAACGTCTATTAAATTGAAACGATGTTGTGTTGAACGTTGTGTTACGCAAGTGTTGCAACTATGGCAGCTGAGAAGGCCATTCTTGGTGTTCTTTTATTGAAGAATTTTCAGAGCCTCATGAAATGGGTTTAATACTTCACCATATGTCTTCTAATGTCCTCAATAGCTGAGTACACCAAGCTGCAGCGGCCGCATTTGTAGACGACTTATCAGAATCCATGGTATGCGCTGCTCATTAAAACAGCAGGGTTTATAGACACGTCACTGCTGATTGGGTAACACCTCTGACACACCCATCGAACAAAAGACCTACCTCAAAGTCAGTTTCAACAAAAAGTTGTTCAACACAGAGACAGTAGCAAAATGTTGCGCAACGTTTTGAGATTGAATGCGCTCCATATCTCTCTCCTCTCCCCCAGATGTAAACTGGGTGGTGCTAATCTTGGGTAATGCTTCCGTAAGCATTCCCCCTACCAAACACAAGGCTGACGTCTCTTGCCCCAACCACACAGTTTAAGAGTCCGAGACACTTAGCGAGCTAAAGCTAGCCCAGCATTGCTTTGTCTGTCGGTTTATTCGTCTGTCCATCCTGCATGTCTGTTTGTCTGTGACTGTTTTCATCTAGTTACCATCACATAAAAGCTGGATAATGATTTCAGTTCAGTTCTGAGTGGCAAAACAGGCTAGGAGGGAGAGAGCTGTCAGTGAAGCCGATTGACATTAGCCATGCCCACACAGATAGGTCTGTTCAGCGTTTTTTAAGCTGTGTTTTCATTTTATATCCTATATTTTTCATTCAAGCTTTGCTGGATGTTTAATATAACACTCAAGTTTACTATCATACAAACACTGGGAATCTCTCATTGATCTCTGAGCTCAGGAAATATGTATTTTCAGTTGGAGGCTGTTGAATGAGGTCAAATTACATAATAATTTATGTGCTGGGGTTATTTTTTAAGATTTCATGTCAGATATATCTATATTTGCTATTTAGAGACAGTTTTCGATTATTAAGCTGTTTTAGAAACAACAATTGTGAAAAACCCTTGTTTCCAGCAAGTGCACCTAAACCCACACCTGACTATTGAGCTGTACTGTCCCAACACTGCCAGTGTGACACAGTAACAGTTGTACTTTTTCAGTTTTTTTCAGTGCCTCAGAAGGAGGACTTTACATGAATCAATGACACAAGGGCTCGAGAATCTTCCAAGTGATTTTGGAAGTCACAAGTTCAGCTATGTTAGTCACAAGGCCAGCCATCACTAATCAAAGCAATTTTATGGCAAATCACCATGGCAGCCCAACTCATGAACATGCACATGGAAGTTTTTTATTTTCTTTTCAGTGCAAGGCCATTTTTTATTTGTACACTAGAGGGCAGCAGCTTTAACCCACTTTCTCTGTGTAACCTGAAAAGAAGAAAAACTTTGATGAGACTTGGTGTTGACAGTTAATCAGTTAACAAAACATTTTCTAAAACATTAACTTTTCTTTTTACAGTTGAATTTACAAATCCAAGTGATCCATCTTGTTGGGAGATCTTTCCATACATTTAAAAAAAAACAATATCAGCACTGGACAGGTGTTTGAGATTTGGCTAATATTTCAAACCGATATTTGATGACACATTTATTGTATTCTGGAAGAGCAGAACATTTAGATGATGTTAGGTTACTGTCCCTTTTTATGCATTTGTAACCCTCTATAAATAAGGGTTCTATTCTCTATAATGCTAATCCAGGAGGATCCAGTCCCAGTTTCTACATTTTATAAAGTTTCTGTATCAGCATGGACGGATATGTACATGAAAAATACTGGAAATTGGCATCACCCCTCAATACACAAAACTCCAAAATCTCATCCAAACTATTCATAATGGAGGGAGAACAACAGCTTCCAGTTATTACGGGATGCAATTTACATTTGTTTTAGGAAATTCTACAGCACGATGTCAGGGTGTTTGTCCGGCGATCTAAAACTCAAAAGAGATGCACGCAATATTGCATATGCAACATAAGCAAAAAATAAGGTCATGCAGTAGAACAATGTCCAAATCACATGAGTAAACCAACAACAGAGTGGCTGAAACAGAATACATTCTGTACTTTATAATATCCAACTCGGATTCCTGACCTCAATCCCACTGAAATGCTGCGGCAGAATCAGGCTGATCAAGTAAGACATGCCAAAAAATGGACAAGAACTGAAACAGTTTTGCATAGAAGAAAGGGTAAAAATACCTCCTGACTATTGTGTAGGACTCAGATACAGCAACTGTTTGTAGGAGGTTACTGTAATTACATTGTCCATAAATGACAATGGCAATAAATTCAGCTTCATTGTTCAACCCCTTAAAAGGCCAGGGCCCGCTGGCAGACCAAAGTTTTATTACACTCTTCTATAACTTAAAAATAGCTCAGTTTGCACTGCAGTCCCTGTAGATACTGAATAATAGGCCTTAGTATGTAAATAGCCTGGGATTTTAAGGGGTTTAACCAGGATGTCTTATCTTACCTGTGAAGGGCTGATGGCTGCAAATCTTCTCTTTCAACATATCTATCAGTTGTTCTCAGTCTTCGAACAATTGATCAGGTGTGCTCCTGCTTGGTTGGAATGAAAATCTGCAACCACACGGCTCTGTGCAGATAAAACTGAACACAGTTGGTTTAAATCTTCGATTCAGTAAAGATGTAGCAGTGTGAATATTTGTTCTATGTTAAATAAGACTGTCCTAAATCAGGGGTGCATGACTTTGGGCTTAGAGGGCCTGTGTCCAGCACAGTTTGGTAGTTTTCCTACTCAAACACACCCACTAAACCTGGCAAAATGAGCATAATCAGGTGTATTTTAGCAGGTAAATCCCAATAGAACCCAACTGTGTTGGACACCAGCCCTCCAGGAAAGGAGCTGGGCACCGCTGTCCTAGAAGAAGGCTTCAATAGCTTTCAGGAGCCATTTATGTTGAAACCCAAACTTATTCCAGATTTACTAAATTTCACAGCTTTGGAAAAACACGTGGGCTGCTGGATTATTTTGAAAGCGGCTTCCGCAGTCTTGACCGCATCATGTAAGTTCAAACTCCAAATGTACCTCATGTTTGAAAGCTGTGGGGAATCATTAACACACCTGGCGCAAGAGTGCTTGACAGTGCAATATCACTTTAAACACTGTAAAACCCTGAATTCAATTTATTATTAATGTTTATTGGTGTGCTTGAATTTCTTTAGAGCATGTTAAAATAATGTGCTTTGAGAAATGCCTACGTACCCTTTTAAAAAGCCAGAACCACGGTGAACTACATTTCCCATAATACACAGCGTCACGCAGCTGATTGGCTGAAGAGCGATACTCCTCCTGTCATGTCGCAGGAGTGAAAGGGAAGTCAAAACGTTTTGGCTCTGAACTTCAGATTCAGGGGAGCCTCAGATGGAGAAAGTAGCGATAACGTCCCTGTTATTGCTGAGCTGGAAAGTCCTCGTCTGAAATGGCCTTTCACAGCAGCCAGTGCTGTCGGCTTATCTTAAGGACGCACGCCGCCAAGGCCCTGCGGACAGTGAGAGTGCCAGCTGGAGACAAACTACTGCAGCGCCGCTATTCTGTGACTAAAGAGGAAAACCAGCCTTACAGTGAGGTGACAGAGGCTAAAGTCCAGCCTGTGAAGGTAAAAAGCCACAGAGGTTGAGTTCAGCCTGTTCTCTGTTTCAGCTGCGTGAGGAGCGTCAGCACATTTGGTCGGTTGCACTTCTTGGGAAACTTGGCATGCTGTGCCCTGGTGTTAATCCTGACCTGACTGGCCTAATCATTCTCAACTCAACCGTTAAGGCTCTTCTAGCTCTTCTACGCCTGTTAGTTATATGCATTTATTATAACATTACAGGACAATGACGCAGTCATTTAATTAGAGCTTCGTTAACGTAGTTAATAAGGAGAATTCCACTGATTTTCTTTTAAAGGTATGCAAAGAGAAAATTACTCAGATTTCTTTACAGTGGTGGTGAACCATGCATAGCCATATTATTTACTACCAAACCACCAGTGCACCTGCACCTAGCTTCTTAGGCATTGTTCTTCCCTTTTTAGGGATCCTTTTGGGAAAATGCGAGACTCTGATCCAACAGATTAGAATGAATTTAAACCCTCTAAATGTACCAGGACCTAAATATGGGGAAAAGTAGATGTATAAGTAAAAGTATTATCATTTGAAAACACAAGAAAAGCACAAATCTTTAAAATGTTTACTGAAGTAGAGGAAACTAGTTACTCCCCGCCTCATGGCTTAGGTAATTCCGGCAGCGGTGGGTTCCCACTGGGACATGAGCAGCACTTCTACTCCAGGCCTTTACATAATAGGGACAACCAAGACAGTTTGGACTGCCTTGATGAAGTCTGTGCAGGAGCTGTGCTTAACTTAGTGACAGAGTGTTAATGTTTCAAAATATACCATACGTATTAGGGGTGCGGGAAAAAATCGATTCTTAGGTGCATCGCGATGCGGACGTGAACGATTCATAATCGATTCATAAATGTCAAAAATCGATTTTCTAAATATTTAATTTATAACGTAATGTTGACGGAACGCAAAAGGCGGAACTTGGAAGTGCGGAAGTGCAGCGCCCGGACAGTCTGTGGCGGCACATAACAAAAACACTACTGGATGAGTGAGAAATCCGACCGGCTCCCTCTGCACTAAAGCCAGGTTAGGTCAGGAGTCACAACACAAATGATAAGAAGAGCCATTTTGACCTTTCAACAAAAATGAAACCACCTTGGGAGCCGCAACATTTAATGTCCAGTATGTCTCAGTGTGTGATAATGTCCTAGTATAGACTAAACAATATAAACGAGAGCGCTGATTTACTTCGCTGTGCTTTGAGCTTCGCCTACAGCACCTTTTCCTCCCATCTCCGCCAGAAAACCCTTCCTCAGAAGTTGATCAGTTTCTTGTAAAATGTTCGACTGTTTTACGAGGCTGAAGTCGCTTCTTATTCTCCAGCTTCTTGTTCGAATTTACCCGTTCCACCTTAAATTTTAACTGAGGCGCCGAATGTAAATGCGGCACCGTTTAAGGTGGAACGGGAGAATTCGAAAGAGAAGCGACTTCAGCTTCGCCACTTTTTAGTGTTTGACAGTCTCTCGTTGCAGATTTAACGGAAACCAAACTGCGCTGCTTATAAATGCGAATAATGCATCGCTGCTATGTGACCTGCAGTCCGCACGGCGGGTCTCAGTCGTTGCGAAACAGGGCTTTCGCGCTATGCTGCACACGACCCGTCTCGAAGATACTTTACTGACACAGCGACCCCCCCCGTCTCTACAACAAGACCAAAACCGAAGTTATAAAATCACTAAAGAAACGGGTAGAATAGCTGTAACGTGTGCTGCGTGGTCATCCATCACCACTGGATCTTATTTCACCGTAACTGCGCATTTTATCGCAGATGAGTCGCAGCAGCTTCTCGTGCTCCAAACAAGAGCACTGAATGAGAGCCTTCTAGTTCACCTGCCACATCACTTCCATTTGATTTATTAAAAAAGATATTGGAAGTAAATTCATTATGGATCATTACAAATACTTTGCTTTAAAAGTACCAAGTTCCTTTAAATAACAATAACTCTGAGTTACTTAGTCACTTTAAAATATTGTCTCTATATTCTGTGTATATTTTGTGTATATTTAATATATTTCAGTTGGTTTTTCCTGTATTTTTATTTTTACTTATTTACTTTCTGTAAAGCGATTAGCTGAGCCTCACCACAAGTATTTCAATGCATAAATGTCCTGACATGCTGTGCAAATGACAAATAAACTTGAAACTTGAGCTCACCCAGTGAGAAAATATAAATGCTATATAGAAAAAAAGATGCATCGATAATCATTTTATAATCGAATCGAATCTTGAGGTGCCTAGAGATTCCCACCATTAATATGTATTATATCCTGACCATAATCTTGAGTCTCTCACCGCTGGGGCACACTTATCATGTGGCACTCCAAAACCACAAACCAGTTGCTCTGAAGATTGCCAGCGCCAAGGCGTCATGTTTAAATTGATTACAAGTAAGAAAATTTTGTTGGATATCAGATCATCTTTTGCTGTCAAACCTTGGATCATGGATACGTAACTATCAGTTGTTCTGTAACTGATTATACAAAGCAAAGCATGTCAGCTAAGGGTCAAACAAGAAGCCCTGAAACAGGCTAGTTTTTTGCTGCTTGCTTTTAAGGTTTTATGTTCCATCTGTTCTTGCATTTGACAAGGAAAGAGAGACCCCTGTGTTTTCATTAGAACTGGCCGCCATACAAGGGTGTGCAGGGGACGGCCTGTAACATTGGTTAGAGTCTCTGTACTTACATGCAGTGTTGTAAAAACAATGAAACGGTTCCTGTTGTACAGCTCTGGACCTGGGTAGAAGAACTAAACTAATCTATGGACAGGTGGTAAATATTTATAGAGCATGTATGATTAATAACGTAATGGATTAATTTGAGAAATGGCATTATTTAAGCCTAGGCTGCCCAACCCTGAAGCTCTGCCACCTTGTCAAGGGTAGGTCCGGCTTTTCTTGTTGAACCATGTAATGTGGACATCAGTGAGTGTATAGTGCTATATAGGCTGTTCTACAGAAATGGTTTTATTTTATGTTGGGAAATCTGTAGACTTTTCCTTGAAGCCCTTAACCTATTAGATTATTAAAGAAATATACAGATTTATTAAGGGTACAATGAAAACCTTTGGATTATTTTCAGAAATGTCTAATATTTTATTATTATTTATTACCAAAACACTGCCAAAGAATGAAAATTTGTATATCAACATTTTTGTCTTTTTTTTCTTGTATTCTGAGAAGTTTTCAGTTATGAATTGCTGTGCAATGTTTGCTTACCTGACAATTAGGTCATCATATTATGAGTTTTCCATCCGGTGTGTAGATGCTGTATAACAGGTGACAGCAGTACAGAGCATGCATTAAAGCTTATATTGAGGTCAGAGACAGTGAATTAATGCCATACGTCGTGTCCCTTGCTGTAAACCTGTAATATGAATCTCCATTAGCTTTCAGGCCGTGCATAAAAGAGTACTTTCCATTTGTTCAGCTTATGCAATCATTTGCGATGGCTGGATTAAATCAAATAATGATCAATGCTATCATATTTCTTCTCTTCACTAATTGAATCTTTGTTTAGTGGGATTTGCTTGAGACTGAGACAAACTTGCTTAGGCAGTTTAAATACTTTCCAGAAATTAAAAGAGCAGCTTTTAGTACCAATTTAAATTCTATTGAAACATCATTATAGAAAATAGGCACAGAATCTTTACTTTTCAGTGTAATTTAGTGATGCAGTTACATTATTTACATCATTAAAAACTGATGTTGGCCGCATTAAGGTCAAGATCAAGAGCTTTAGTTTCATAAGGTTCCTTTACACATTGAAACACTTTAATGCTCTAACATTTTTTTTCTGTGTCTCTCTTTTCCCTCCACATTCAGGAAGTAGTTGTTGCACGTAGTCACAGGCGAGTTTTGAAGGATATCTTGCCTTTCTCAGAATTCCTCACGGACACTTTTGGACGAAGGCACAGTTATCTGCGAATTTCCCTTACAGAAAAATGCAACCTGCGCTGTGAGTGATTCTTTTGCTGCCCACCTCCCAGTTGATTTAAAGGGCCCATATCCTGGAAAACCCATTTTTTCTGATTTATTTGCTATAAGAGATTAAAATGTAGTATGCACATGCTGTTAAAGTGTCAAAATGTATCATTCACTTTCCAGTCCATACAGTCCATATATGGAATGTAAGGTATGAAAATAGCATGTTGTGAATCCATTGTGTCTCGAATGTATTTACTAATATTTGCCTATTCAGTCTACAGTACTGAGGTTATAAGGAGTGTTTCAACCTGGACTGTTTTTGAATGAGGCAGTATATAGGACAGCCAGTCATAACAGAGATCATTTATATACATCAACCCTAAAGGCGCAATAACAAAAGCAGCCTCTCTAATTCTAAGGGATAAAGAGAGGTTGGAAAATGATCATGTACAAATGAATTATGACTATAAAATGCAAGAAAAATGTAGGATGTGGGCCCTTTAACCTATAGATTAAAAAGGGAATATATTAGTCATAAATATACATACTGAATGAAGACTGCTTGTCTGTATCTCCTGTTGGTGCTTTTTAACAGCGTTTTTTTTTGCCTCAGGTCAGTACTGTATGCCAGAGGAGGGAGTGAAATTGACCCCGAGGAGCCAGCTCTTGACCACAGAGGAGGTGCTGACTCTGGCTCGACTCTTTGTGCGCGAGGGGGTGGAGAAGATCCGCCTGACTGGAGGAGAGCCACTTATCCGCCCTGATGTTCTGCATATTATTGGTAGGCTAAAGCTATGGATAAGGGTAAAGAAAATCTTTATAAATAAATGAATATTGCCTCAGAGTGCTGTTGAAGTTGTGGCACCAAATACAGTTTCCTCATTGTTGTACTGGTGGTGCTACAGTAAGACATGGTTTTAGATTATGTCTTTAAAAGCCAATTCATTGTGACAGCCCAGCTGAGCCAGTGCACCTCGCTATGCCATGGGTATACACACATCAGACCTCTGAAGGCTGAAACTCAAGTCTCTCTTTCACAGTCAGAGAACCTCTTCATGTTATATTTTCAAAATGCCCTGATGCATATGGATATATTGTATTAGGAAGCCGTCTTGACAGTTGATGTATATTTTAACAAGAAAGATCTATCAATTGGGCCAAAATGCAGTGAATTATTAAAGTTCATCATGCCAGGCATTCTTTCAGCATCTGCAAGGTATTCTTTCAGCATCTGATTTAATTTTGAATTTTTTTGAGACAGTGTTAGACAGTCTTAAAATAGTCTACTCTAACATGAATATTTAATAAAGGCTTTGATTTGTCTGGCAGCTTTTTGTTTGGCAACTTTCTGAGACACAAGAACCTTCTTGTTCAGAAACTCTCTGTAGTCTGGTAGTCTGATTAGTAGTACTGGTGTGGGCAGATGAACATAAGGAGGTGGAGCTGGAAAGTGGAACTCCATGCCAAACGTGATGGTGGAAGTCCAATTTAGCACGCATAATGCCAATGTCATGGCAAGACTGGATAACATAGGTCAGCAATCATGTGTTCCACTGCTTAACACATCTTGCAGTCATATGATCAGATTCTTGTAAGACTTTAACGTTTGTGTCTGTTTTGAAATCTAAAAAAAAATTCCAAAATCAAATTCATGAAGAATACTTTTTTTTAAAAGAATGGTTTGGTGAAAATTCTAAATTCACAATTTTCCATTCACCCCAGTTGTAGTTGATCAGCCAAGACTTGTTTGGTGTCCAAATTTTGCTTCTTTAATTTTAACGTGGACCTATGTGGTTAATGTAACTAACAAACCCTAGAAGCTGATAGTCACCCAATCCTTTTTTCTGTAAATACATCCCCAAAACTTCTCTCAACTCATTCAAACTGCAGCCACTTCATTAAGTTTGTGCATACTTGTTGATGTGGTGTAGGACACAGTATGACTAAGTGTGTGCTATAAAAATGAACAAAAAACACAGCGGTCAGCCATCGTAGACACTGAGTTCGGTTTAGTTTTGTTCATTTTTATAGTTCACAGTAAGTCACAGTGTGAGTGAGTTTAGAGACATTTTCGGGATGTATTTACAGAAAGATTGGGGCGACAATTGACGTCTAGAGTTTGTTATCGACATTAGCCTCATAGCTCCAGCGCTGAACAAACGCTAAACTAATCAACTACATCTGGGGTAATTGAAAAATTGTTAAAATTGGATTTTTGACCAAACCATTCCTTTCAAGGGGAATTCCACCCGTTTTTTTCAAAATGTTTGCATAATTCAATTGTTCAGATGCCAGCAGAGTAATTCAGAGTGGTTTGATCTGAAAGCTCCGTTGTAGAGAAACATACAGACTCTGATGTCTCTACAGTGGGGATGATAGGAACCAGGCGTGGTGATGTCTACAATGCAAATATAGTCATTTTATTTACAACACAAACAACCAGTGTACCTACATGTGTCTTTTAAATGTTTTGATGTTGATAATAAAAAGTTTCCCTTGGTTGCTATTTTGCCCTCCAACTAGCGCGTGCCTCTCTGCCATGAATGGAAAGAAAAAAAAAAAGTTGTAAACAGTTCTGACTCATTACATTTCTCTGGAATGGAGCATTTCACATCAAACCACTCAGAATGACGTAAACTTGTGAACGAATTATTATTGTAGAAATTCAGAGAAATGTGGAAGGACACGTCTGCCTTTTTCAGCCTTATTTCTATCCGTTGCATATGTAGCATACAGCTGAATACCATGGACAGACATTTCCCTTTACTGTACAAAAAACCTGTTGACTCAAAACACACTTTCACTGAAGCCAGTGGGCAGACGCTTCAGCACCTTCTGCTCATGGACTTCTATTATAAGGGTCAGCACCTGCCTATTAACCTTAAGTATGTTTTCAACAAGTTTTCTGTTATTTTACAAGTACAGGGAAATGTTTAAGTTACTGTCTGTAGTATTTGGCTATACGCTGTAGACATGGCAGATGGAGATATGGGTAAGTATTAGGAGCACTACTCTAATCGCCCTCTTAAAACTGGAATGTACAGAATTGAGCTCTTTCTTCTGTTGATGTTTCTAGCGGAAATGCGGAAGCTGGAGGGTCTGAAGACGATTGCCATAACTACTAATGGCATAAATCTTGCCAGACTGTTGCCTGGTCTAAAGAAGGCGGGAGTGGACCTGCTCAACGTCAGTCTGGACTCATTAGTGCCGGCCAAGTTTGAGTTCATCGTTAGACGTAAAGGTGGGTGAGCTGTCTTTTTCCTCGAGATGTCTGGATGGCGTGCTTTGTGAGTCACCAGGCGCAGAGGAATGCCAGTGGAAAATTGTGATATGTACGCACACCCAGCACAATCAATAGAAAGAGCTATAGTGTCGTCTTTTAGTAACACTGATAAGCAGTTAATCCTGTTGCTGGTGCAGCAGAGCTGTTGTGAAAGCCAACCGAAATGACAGAATGCTGGAGCCGCGGGTGGCAGATACCTCAGTGATGGAGACAGATGGAGGAGTGTGGCTCAGGAGAAGTAACAGCAGTACACAGGAAAGCACAGAGGGAGTGTGTACACTAAAGTTAGCTACTGCCACTTAAAACATACATGATCACTAGATTATTGTTTAATGGGTTGTTGATTTTGAACTATGGAAAGATCATTAAAGAGAACGTATCACTTACGTAGCACTTACAGTGTGGTTCAGAAGTCTGAGACCACTGGTGAAAATGCTTCTATTTTGCATTCCTTCCTAATTGAATACCAAGTTTTTCATTACAAATTATATTATCAGTATTGCAGTTTTTTTACTGCTCTAGATTTTCTTTTTAGATATTTTTTAAATTCTGAAAACCTTCCGTTTATTTCCAGGTTTAAAGGAAAAAATCCCAGATTTTCAGTGTGGTCTCAGACTTTTGGACCCCACTGTATTTCTAGTTTACTTTGTCGTTTGATGGCTTGAAGCCTTGTTAGCCAGTCATGCTGCAGTAACTCTTTTTGATACCAATTACTGCAGTGGTTTGGATTCAGTTTTAAAAATCCTGCTTGGTTCAAAAACAGTAGGACTACTGAGTGCCTTTTAATTAGAGTCTTATTTAGGCTTTTATGGAAACAAGGAGTAACGGCAGCAGCACTCTTGTGATTCTCCAGACTAAGAAATGTAGATATATTTGCAGAAGAGATGTCTGATCCAAATTATACACTTTCTGTGGTTTCCTGATTTAACCTCATTTCCTAATTAGCTTGTACAGCATACTCTGCTTATGACTTTTCCATTTGGTTTACCTTTGAGGTTTTGATTATTTTTAAATCATTCTCCTCTACAGGGTTCCATAAGGTGATGGAAGGGATTGACAAGGCTGTTGAAATGGGTTACAATCCAGTTAAGGTAAAAACATTTTATATTTTTGTGTATTTTTTTTTAAATTAGCATAATCTGTAATTTTGTTTTACGGTATGGATGGGCTAAGCAGTGATATTTTCTGAAAAAATGAGACTATGAAGCTGGGAAGAATCAGGTTCAGAGTAAAGGTTCTGCCTGAGGGAAATTAGTTCCTTTTGTGTTTTCTGAAGCTGAGTAATTTATAGCAAGTGCTTTTAAACAGTGGAACCTGCCAGTCACTGGAGTCTCATCCTCTATCAATGGGATTTGACAGCACTGTAGGGTCAATTTCAGAGCTTGTTGGCTTCAAGCAGTTTCTTTTTCAGAGAGGACTTTTTATTCATGTCTTTCTGTCACCACAAATGCTTCATTTACTAACAAAACAAAACCATACATCTCCCAAATGGTAACTTTTTGTCCAAGGTAATGTAGTGAGACTTTATTACAGTTGACTTTTGACCATTTTATTTACTTAATTTACCATTACTAACTTGTGGCCACAGCTAAATAATCTTATTCTCACACTTTCCACAAGTTGTGGACAAAAATTAATTATCACAACTTAGTATGGCATGGGAACAAGACATTTGTGATAGTTAAGTTGTGGCCACAAATTAGTGAGGTGTAAAAAAGACTTAACTATCTTGTTTTCATACCTGAGGTGTGGCTATAACTTAAGTATCGAATTGCCATGCTTCACGAAATTGTGGCCACAACTTAATTGTTCCCATACCTTACTTAATTCGGGGGCACAACTTAATCATCTTGTTCTCATGCCCTACTAAGTCTTGGCCACAACTTAATTATCTTGTTCCATCAGCATACTAAGTTCTGGTGACAACTTAATTATCTTGCTCTGATGCCTTAACAAGGCATGGCCACGGCTTAATTATCTTGTTCCCATGCCTTATTAAGTTGTGGCCACAATGTAATTATTTCATTCCCATGCCTTACCAAATCGTGGCCACAACTTAATTATCTCGATCCCATACCTTACTTAATTTGGGGGCACAACTTAATCATCTTGTTCTCTTGCCCTACTAAGTCATGGCCACAACTTAATTATCTTGTTCCTTCACCATACTAAGTCGTGGTGACGACTTAATCATCCTGCTCTGATGCCTTAACAAGGCATGGCCACGGCTTAATTATCTTGTTCCCATGTCTTACTACATAATCACCACATCTTAATTATCTTGTTACCACATCTTACTACATCACCACATCTTAATTATCTTGTTCCCATGTCTTACTACATCATCACCACATCTTAATTATCTTGTTACCACATCTTACTACATCACCACATCTTAATTATCTTGTTCCCATGCCTTACTACATAATCACCACATCTAAATTATCTTGTTCCCATGCCTTACTATGCCATGTCTACAACTTAACCATCACGTCATTCTCTGCCTTACCAAGTCATGGCCAAGACTTGACTATCACAATTTACCTTATCTCATTCCCACACCTTGCTAAGTGATGACCACGCATTAGGATCCTGTTTCCACACCTTAGTCAGTTGCATCTGTGCTTTATTCTTATTAAGAAGGGATGTCGCCAGTGGGGCCTAGCTGTGTTGAAGTTATATAGAAAAATGAAAGTAGAGCAACATAGATTTGATACAATAGTGACAGTAAATTACACAGCGATGGTGTGAAAGCTTCAGCTGTTTGGGTGTGGGCTCCAGACAGCGCGGTATGAGTGTTGAGTAAAGTGCAGGTATGTCTCGCAGGTGAACTGTGTGGTAATGAGGGGTCTGAATGAAGACGAGCTGCTGGACTTTGTGGCTCTGACTGAGAAGAAGCCTCTGGATGTGCGCTTCATAGAGTACATGCCTTTTGATGGTAAGCTTTCTTAATCGTGTATAACCCACACCTGTAATTGAGAGTGAGGCCTTTTATTGCTGATGCATACATAACTGCTTATATGTTTCTGTGATACAGATTAGCGCATATTGTAAGTAGTAACATCTGAATTTAGTTGGAAAAGAAAACGGTAGTAGGTAAAAAAATATGACCATAACAGATGCCTCTGGTAGCAGGTTATTTTTGCCCCAGTGCCCTTTGAGCTGAATGTCCTGCTTTACAGTCATGAGCCATGATTGACAAATGAATGAAAGTGTGTGTCAGATCGTTAATCAGTTTAGCTCAAATACCTCTTTGACAGCACAAGTGACATTTACAACAATCGCTTCATCTGTTTGTCTAAAAATACAGATGTCTTCTTTCTTCTGCTGTCACCTTATTGTTATTATTCATTGTGAAGTTTTCTTGCTTTAAAGGTCAGTAAGAAACCTGTGTTGAACTACATGCTTATTAGAGGCATTTTTCAAAGGAGCTGTCTGTCAGAATATGATGGAGAGAGTGCGCAAATAATGACTCATTTCGCCCTTAGTTCACTTTGACGTTTATTGTGCAACACTGAGGGGGATCTGCATTAGTTGTATGATGAATTGTGGACGTTCACCAGGCAGCTTGTAACTGTACAAGAGTCCAAATTGAGAGTCGAAGGCTGCAGTTATATAAATGACCTGTAAATCTAAAATAATATTTTTTTCTCTTTTATACATTTGGATCTGTGCTCTCTAGATCATCTACTGAAATGACAGCTGTGGTGACTCAGTCTGAACTAAGTCCAGAACTGTGAGACATATCAGTGTTTCAACATCAAAATATACTGTATCAGAAATATGATGATGAGCGATATGATTGCTTTGATAGAAATCCATTCATTTACCCCAACTGCCAGCCGCTGGTCAGTTTATTAGTCCGGAGGCCACACTTTATGCCTCTTCTTCTCCTTGTAGTAGATAAACAGAAGAGGGGTTTGACAAAAATGTAGTAGGTAGTGCTGTCAATAACGTGTAAATACGATATATTACTAAAGCCACTTACTTTTTGAATGCTGTAAGTGGATTTTCCTAGTTCGACGTTCCCGTTTTTGCTTTGATAGAATTTGCGATCGTAGCCATCTTATTCAGATTCAGCCTTTAAGTGACTTTTAAAGTAATACCTTCACCACCTTCAGGACAGTGCTTGTGGGAGAACCATGGATAAATCAATAATTAAAGCAATGGCAAAGTGGAAAGCTCTAGTTCCCATCAAAAGGCTCCACTGAGACAAGAATCCACAAGCTGTATGAACAAGAGTGAGCAGCTACAATCGCGGAAGAGTTGAACCACTGACAGTGATTAAAATTGGAAACTGCCGTCACCCTGTGGAAATCACATGATGCTCATGTTTAAGTTCATGTGACCCCTATGTTCACATGATGAAATGCTTTTGAATTATTGAAAGTAATAAATATTTTATGATGCTTCTTTTGTCCACTCATATAACTATAATAAAATATACTGCTTTTTTAATATCTTTCTTTAGAAGCAAAGTGAAGCAAGTAAGGCAGATGTACTTAATGGCAATTGACTTCATGAAACAGTGTGATTAATCATGATGAAATCTTTTAATTATTTGACAGCCCTAGTAATATCACAGTTGTTCAGGATGTTTTCTCAGTACATATTAGGCATCACCTGGCCTCAGTCTCCAGTATCTGCCTAAGTTTTTTTCTTAAATGTGTTCTTGAGAAAGGTCCTAAGAAAAAGTCTACGTCAGATTCATGACGTGTTTTTAAACCGCAGAACTGTTCACACCTTTGTGCTCTTGAGTGTGTGTAGATTCTGGAACAAATCCTAAATATTCATTTTCATGAAAGTGGGTTTTAAGAAATTTCTTCTTAGAAACAGTTGGTGAATAAGGCTGTTTTTTATTTTTAGACTTTTTAGTTTCTCAGAGGTTTGACAAGTTGGAACAGACAAAAAAAACCCATCAGTATCAAGTTTTACCAAAAATACCATCAAAAACTATGAATGAAGTTATTGGTCTGCATAGTTATTTCTGTTTCTCATTGTCTTTGTATCTTTTAATAAATTTTAAAACTTGTTTCACCTATTTTTATTTGACTTTGCTCTTCTTTATATAAGTGGATCATCTTATCAAATCATAAAAACAGTTCAAAAACAGTTCCTGAAAAATGAATAACTTAAATGTAATGGCTGTTTTGACTGGAAATTAAATAAATCATGGGGGTCTCTGACTTTCACACAATTCTGTAAATGACCTATGCCAGAATCAGTTATTCACAGTGTCAAGGGTTTTGAAGTGTAGTTTGTTTTGTTTGCTGGATTGTACATTGTACATGGCAGCAGTGTTAATTCTGTTTGAATTGCTCCCTCTGCAGGCAACAAATGGAACTTCAAGAAGATGGTGAGCTACGCAGAGATGCTGGACCACATTAAGCAACAGTGGCCCAATCTGGAGCCGCTTCCTGGGGACGAGACGGGCACCGCCAAGGTCAGCTTGTCCCCAGACTCCTGCTGAATAATTCATCCAAGCATGAATTATTCCTACTGTTGATTCCTCACTGGAACCAGTTAAAGGATGCCATTTATCATGGCTCAGTGCTCAAGCTAATTTATGGTGTTGGCCTTGTGCCTTTTGTAAGCACTCTCTGTGCTCTTGGGAGAAACTTTATAACTGTATTACAAGCTAAATGTTGGTCATTTTTTACCTGTGGGTGCTGCATTCCTTAGCATGGCTATTGCCATGAGTGCATTATTATTGGGTTGAAAGAATTGTCGGCTGCACTTCTTGCAGGAAATGCAGCAGTAATTGATTCCATTACCTTTTTGAAGTTATTAAGCTGGTTGTAAATGTTTGTTCCATGTGCAGCAGGGCTGCAGAGACAGTTTAGTCATGGTTTGATCCTCTGATTGATGTGTGGCTGTGTGTGGTCCCAGGCGTTCAGGGTCCCAGGGTTTAAGGGCCAGCTGGGTTTCATCACCTCCATGTCGGACCATTTCTGTGGCTCCTGCAACCGTCTGCGCATCACAGCTGATGGCAACCTCAAGGTACATTTGCATGTTGGAGTCAGTGGTTGAGATGATCATCAAAATATACAGTGCCCTTCGTAATGTTTTGGACAAAGTCTTTTTTTTTATTTGCTTCTGTACTCAGTTTTAAGTTCGTAACGTAAAAATTCATGTGATAAAAGTGCACAGATTTTAGTACATTTTCATCATGTATAAATCACAGCACTTATAAAATAACATAGCTGTAGCAGCCACACAGGCCCAGGCCATAATACCCCCACCACCATGTTTTACAGATGAGGTGGTATGTTTGGATCTTCAGCAGTTCCTTTTTCTCCTCCACACTGTGCTCTTGCCATCACTCTGATACAAGTTAATCTAGGTCTCATCTGTTCACATGACCTTTTCCGGAACTCTAAAGGCTCTTTTATGTCCTTTTTTAGCAGACTGTATCCTGGCCTTTGTGTTTTTTTGGCTAAAAAGTAGTACAGGCACATGGTTATTTTTGATCATTATGGTTAGAATTATGGACCTTCTGTCATCAGCTGTGGAGGTCTTATTTGACCTATAAGTCACTTTATGGTTAATAAACTCACCCATTCTCTTTCTTCTCAATAATGTTCCAGTTTTGATAAGGCCTAAAGTTTGACTCATAGCTGTTCCTGTTTTATCCTTGTTTCTCAGCCTTAAAATGGTTTCCTTGACTTTCATTGCCACAACTCTGGTCCTCAAGTTGACAAACAGCAAAGGCAGACTCCAAAGGTGACCAGAAGCCTAAAATCAAAACTACATGCTGAAAGCTCTGTTATGCCTGCATTAATGAAGCAATTAAACACACCGGAGTAATCACAAACCCCTTTGAAGCCCTGTGTCCTAAACATTATGATGCCTTGAAACGAGGGAGTATTTTGTCTAAAAATGCTGTAATTTCTACATGGTAAAACTAAAATATATAAAAATAGCCTTTATAAAATCTGAGAAGGTGCAGTTTAACCACGTGAATTGTTTGAATACAATTTTAAAACTGTGGAGTACAGAAGACACTATGCTTTTGTCCCAAACATTATGGGGGTCACTATGTTAAGCTGGTGTGGGCTTTAACCCAGTCATACATTCTGTTTAGGTCTGTGAGGGGATTCTGTTTATAAACCACACACATCTTTTAACACATCAGTTATTTTTGTAATTGATTAATCTATCAATGGTTTGGTGAATCAACAAATCAAATTATAATGCCTTCTGCAGTTTGCCGCTGTCACAGCACCATCAGTTCCATCTGTCCAACATGCAGTTTTTTCTTTAATGGTGCATAAAGGGGGAATATTAAAACGTATAACATAAAACGTCCTATAGTGTATATGTCAAACACTGCATGCATCATGTGAACCTTGAAGACCTCTGCTCTACAACTGAAATCTCAGCATTTACGCATAAATAATAATAAAAAAAAAACACTGTTCATGAATCACACAGTTGAATAGTTTTAGCGCACTGTAACTGCAACTGTAATATATTTGTGAGGGAGCGTTAACATCACGGTTAGATTGCTGATTAAGACAGTACAGTGTGGATAACTGTGGTCAGAGTCACACGTTGACTTGGTTAAAGGGGTTTATTGCAGTGATTGTAGACAGATGAGCATGATTACAAGTAGTTTCCAGCACTGGAGTGAGTTTAGTTTGTGAAACACATTGGAAAAAACTCATTAATAACTTGAATATATATATTTAGGCTGTCGCTTGTTAGTACTGTACTGACACTGACCAATTAAGTATGTACAAACACAGTAAAACAAGCAAATTATGCATATATTCAATATAAACCTTAACATTTCCAGTGCACGAATGCCTGGCATGGAAGACCGAGCACACATTAAAACGATCAACCAATATTGATCATACTACCGAACACTTTCACAGTTTTTTCCTTTTTTATAATCAACTTTGACTACTAATTTTTTTCACCCTGTCCTTCTTTGTATTTGTGTATGTGCTGCAGGTGTGTTTGTTCGGAAACTCTGAGGTGTCTTTGAGAGATTGTCTGCGCTCTGGAGCGTCCGATGAGGAGCTGCTGCAGATTATAGGCGCTGCAGTGGGGAGAAAGAAGAAGCAGCACGCAGGTATTACACACGGACTCACCAACCAGAACAAAACCCTTCTCCTCACCTCCATCTTTCCATTCTTTTCTGTGTCTTTGTTTGATTTCAAATCATTGTTCTTGTTATTTTCCTTTCTACCATTTGTATCTCCCTCCCCTGCGGCTTCAGTGAAAGAGCCTCACTCTCTTCTCCTCATAGCTTAGACACACTCCACAGGTCATCCATCTCTCAGTAATCCTCCTCCTCTCCTCCTCTTAATGGAGGAGGATTCAGTCCATTTCGCTAATGCTCCCCATGCTCCTTAGTGCTAATGCTCCTCCGCTGCACAGTTTAGCACAGGGCCTAATGGAAACAGATTTCTTTTGTACACCATTCTCTTTTTCTCTTCCCCTTTAAGTGCGTGATTGTGTTTATCCGTCTTTATCTTCACAGGCATGTTTAATATATCTCAGATGAAGAACAGGCCGATGATCCTCATTGGTGGGTGATACATCTGTACGTAAAAAGTCTCTGACCCATTTTCACTTGTGTTTGCATATGAATACTAAGTGTTATCCATTTGCTCATTATCTGTTTTCATGTGCTTATTTAAGTTGCTCTAAAATGAATTATGCTTCTTAGGGCCGAAAATTGTATATGTCCCGTATCATTCAATGCTGATAAATATTGATACACATATACATTCATACGCAAAGATTTGGGCGCCCCTGGACAAATGAGGTTTTGTGCAGATAAGTTAACATGCCCTGCTCAGAAAACACACTTCTGCACACATTACTTATAACAATTACAGTTTATTTACTGGATCTAACATACTGGGGAAGAAAAAAACATAAAATGTGGGTTGTGCAAAAGCTCTGCCACAGTTTGAGTTTGTTAAACTCAGCAAATAAAGAAATTGTGCATTGAAATTTGCAGAAAAAGGCCAAATTTAAGTTCCCTGTAGAGGATGTGTGAGCTCACTTTCACTTAGAAAATCAACAAAGCTATTTGACCAGGGGTCTTCAAACCTTTGCATATGACCGTATGTGTGGTACTCTAGTATTACCAAGTATCTAGTATTGCATGTAGTGCTGCTTTACATTACATCTGATTTCAGAAAAACAATTCTGTACAGTTTCCTGTTTTTCTGTTTTCTTCAAACTCTTTGCCTTATTTTCTCACAATTTCAACACACAATGGCTCCAGCTGCTAATTCTCTTAACATCTTGTCTTAATGGCAGGCGGCACATGTAAGTGACAACAACATATAAGGTTATAATCAACAAAAGGATCTACTACAGCTGCAAATGTCAGAGTATGACAGACACCTAAAGCTTAAACTAGCCAAACATGAGGAGGAACTAATGCACAATGTTGAGAAAAAACAGCTGCCCTTTGCTTTAATTTTATGAGGCCACTAAATGAAATGAGACCTTTTATAGGGAAATTTGCTACAGAGCTGGAACTTTCAGATAGTAATTTGATGTTTAGTAATGTTACATAATGTAAAATGATAGAAAACTCCCTGTATAACAAGTAAAAGCTACCTAACGTAATGAATAGTGTTGTAGTCAAGTCTGAGTGAAGGCCGAGACCTGGACGCATTGAGTCCGAGTCAACACCGTGACTTTGTAGTAGTCGATTCAGAGTGAATAAAGAGACCAGATTTTTTTCAGAAACTAAAGAAAAAAATGAAATTCATTTGCATTTTATTGTACAAGAATTATAATTATACATGATTGAATGAAACAATATTAAGATTATACTTTGTAATATATTTTGTGGAATATAACATTAAATAATATAGAGCCTAAAAATATTATTAATCCTTTTTACATTATAGTCTTAGTCCACCTTTGCATTGTAACTTTTTTGAAGTAGATGGTGAGATTATTCTCTGTTCCTTCTTCTCTAAAACAGAATCACCATCTAAAGTCGACTGAATATAAACCGAACAATATACGTTCATTTTTATTATTAAATGAAAACAACATAACAACATTCCAATCTGCTCTAAAGAGATGTTTAACTTTTAGAACTAATGAATGTCAACAAACAGTAATACCCAGTTAAGCCATCATGGACCGAAAAAAACAGATTTTATTTAAACATCTACAGAAAGGACGGTTTTCTTCTGTTTGAAGGTTTGTTGATATTCAGCAAGGATAGGAAAAAAGTTTAGTTTCCAGTTACTTCAGACGGAGGCATTGCTTGTCCCGAGAACCATTTCTGAGTCCACCTCACCAAAAGACAGAGACAGGACCAAGTCAAAATGATGCTGAGAACAAGATGAGCAATGTAGATAATTTATGGTGTTGACCAATCTATTACAACACTAGTACTAAAATAGCAGTTGGTTCAAAGTCCAGGCCTGTGCAGCTGATATAAGATAAATCATTCAAATACCTCAAATCCCCTTTATCAATATTTGGGAAAAGAATGATTACTGTAATTATCGATATCGTCTCTATAATTATCATGTTTTGGTCCAGGCCCATCCATTTGCTTACTGTTCATTAGCACTGAGTAATTGTTGAACTTATTTTCTTCTTGTTCCTTAGATGAAGAATGCAGCCGGCAGCCTGTGTCTGTGTTAAGAGGTGAGCAGAGGGAGCTTCCTCTCTCCTCTCCCTGCGTGGCGCCGTCAGGCCGAGTAGCGCCACAGTCTCACAGACCCAACTATCTACACTGGAGTGGCCAAGTTAGCAACAATTTTACTAACAGCACTTTTGCCACCGAGGCACCTGTTTCTACAAACTCTGTCTGTTGTGAAACTGAGACAGTAGTAAATGTTTACCATGCCTGTCAGGGAAGGAGCTTAGCTTTCTCTGACGTATTCAGCAGTAATGCAGTGACCATTTCTGATTTTCAGTATGCTTCCAATTCTGAAACACGCACAGACAAGTTTACACAGCTGAGACACGCACATAGACTTGTAGGCTATCTCAGGCAGATGTCACTGAGGGGCCTCTCCCAGACACTCTCTATACAGAGACGTCCACTGCAGCAGAGCCTAAGGGAGCATCACAGTCAAAGTGACGGTCCTAAAAATTTCAGTACAGCAGTTTCAAACCCCCTGTTCTCAAACCAGGATGGAACCTCTGACCAGTTGACCCACACTGACGCACAGGGCAAAGCCACAATGGTCAACGTTGGAGATAAAGCAGTGACTCACCGCACAGCAACAGCCAGTGCCCAGGTCATCCTCGGTCCCAAGGCTTTTGGTCTGGTCCGTGCCAACCAGCTAGCCAAGGGTGATGCTTTAGCGGTCGCACAGCTAGCAGGCATCATGGGTGCTAAGCAGACCTCTTCTCTGATACCTCTGTGCCATCCTTTGCCCCTGGACCATGCCTCTGTCACAGTGGAGTTGCAAGAAGAGGGGCATATGGCTGTTGTCATGGCAACGTGCCAGACGACAGGCCGCACTGGGGTGGAGATGGAGGCGCTGACTGCAGTGACCGTAGCAGCATTGGCGCTCTACGACATGTGCAAGGCAGTCAGTCGTGACGTTGTTATTACTGACATCAAACTACTCAGCAAGACGGGAGGACAGCGAGGTGACTTTCAGCGCACCAGCTAATAGCAAACCTAAGCTACCACAGGCAGTTGTATGCGAAAGTTTGGGCACCTCTGGTCAAATTACATGTTTTGCTGTTTGATGTTTCTGAGTGGAAATAAATGCACACCCTCTGCACGCTGTGGCACATTTTATTGCACAATTACTATTTATTTGCTGAATTTAACATTTTGTGAAAAAAATGAAAACATGAAATGTGGTCTATCCAAAAGTTATGGCACATTTTTATATTTTATGCATCTGTTTTTTTTTTTATAATATGTTAAACTCAAGAAATAAATACAAACTGTGCACTAAAATTTGCCAAAATTAACTTCTTAATATTCTTTTAGAAAGTCCTCAAACCATAATTCGACTGGGGGTGTTCAAACTTTTGCTCACGACTGTACAGAACTCTCATGAATCCTTAAATGTAGCTACATAAACTTTCCTCAAAGTATTATAAAGCCAAGCTGATTTATGTTCCCTTAAGCTCTTACTGACTTCAACATTGTGCCTTTAGAAACTTTGCCATTGTATTCATACCATTTCATTGTGTTTACTGCCTTTGAAGCAGATTTCCTGAAAAACACACTGCCTTGAATAACTGGACTGATTTCACAGAGATTTTATTTGTTGAGAATTTCCTGTGAAAACAGGCTTTTGTGGAGAATCATTAACACTATTTTGATAATGTTCAGTGTTACGTTATTGTGATGTGTACTCCTGTTTGATGCAGGTGCTGTGTGTGTGGTGGCTCACAGTAATGTCATCATGTGTTTATACCTGTGTATACAAGACTGTATTGATCTGGGGTTGGATTTAAGATTGATTATGAAACTTAATTGTTCTATTTAGACAATGCTCCCCCCAGGAATCTGCACTGTATTAACCCCTGGAGAGGCACACTAGTTGTAAAGCCAAAGACACTCTAGACTTACTAGTCTTTTTGTAATTATGTAGATGATTCTTTTCCAGTTACTCAACAAGGCCTGGATCTTCTGAAAGATGTGTCAAGCATACTATTAAGTACCACACATTTAAAAATTAACTATCCAGGTCAGTTAAGGTCTGCATTGAGTCATTTTATTTAGAAGTTTGGGTCTTAAGTTGAATCTTTCATGCTAATGCTTTTGAATAGCTGTGATTTACAGTACTGTGGAAAAGTCAGAGGCCGCCCTTTATTTATTGTCCAGTCAAAATAGCCACTAAGTAAAAGTTAAACATTTTCAGGAGATATTTCTGAGGGGATTAGATATAGGATCAGCCACTTGCATGATCAAGTGTTGTTAGGAACTCCTAACAATCATGCAAAACCTGGTAAAACCTGAGAGAGAGGAGAAAGTCAAGCTGCTTCAGATCTGAAAGACCCACGGGTGTTTCTGTCCATCCTTCCACTGTGAGAAGACGACTCAGCGCTATGAGTCTGAAAGGATGTGTAGCTATCAAGAAGACTACTAAGAAAAAGACAAAAAGGAAGAAAATTTGCACTAAAACACAAACTGAGAAAGAATGGAAGCTGTAATAAAGCTAAAGGTTCACAGTAAATACTGGACACACTAAATAATGACAAATCACTACATTAGTCGTTGAGGCTTCTGTGTGATTTTCTGTTGAATGTTGTCTGCTCTGTTCCTGATACTGAAAAATGCATTACTTAACAGCAGTTTGACTGGAAATGAAATGAATGAATGGTGGTCTCTGACTTTAGCACAGTACTGTACACTAAGGGCCAGTGATATTGACCTGATGGGTGATTTTTACCACTCAGTTTAAACAATCAGTATTGTTTAGTTTATCTGAATCAAGTCTTCAATCAGTATTGATGAATGAAGTATTTCTAGGATTTTCAGTAAGTATATATTAGCTAAAAGCTCATGACGAGAATAATAAAAGCTACCTACTTAAGATTTGTCTTGTGAGGTGTTTTGCAGTTTTAAAGACTGTGTTGATCATAATGCATAACTGTGTATTTCTAACAGCAGAGGCCAGTGTTGAGCTTTGTTCAGGCTGTAAAAAAGAACACACATGAACTGTAAGGGAAACCGGTTTATTTTACCCTACAAAAGGACGCATGGCGAGCAAAAACAAACAAAAAAATTATAAAATGAAAGTTTTTCAGACTTGAGAAGAGTGAAAAACCTATTTGACATACAAGGACCACAGTATAGTTATTCATATTTATACTTATATAACATTTTTTTGTTTTGTTGTAATGCTGTGTATACATACAAAATATAGCAAACTAAATAAGGCAAATAAATAGATTCAATTTACAGGAAAATGGAACATTCCTTAACATTTTTTTTTCCTTTTTTTTTTGTTTTCCTCAAACAACTATAACGGTGTACAAAATATTTCAGAACTATACATCTTTCGGGTGAAGCTTGTCAGGTCAACCTTTAAAAATACTCCTTCTGCACAATATACAACCTGTCAAAAACTCGAGTGCAGCTCCCCATGGCCGATACAAAGGTTGTGTAACTAGTGTGTTTTCATGTCGCAGGTAATTTCTTACCCATAATATAAATCTTTTCTATCAAAGGATCATACTTGTGCACCACGTTTAGAGTCATTTTAGCAAACAACAAGTGCATTATTGGACCAAACAAAGGTGAAAGGCAAACATTCGCTTGAAAAAAAGATACAAAAGCAAGTGATGCACGTTGAAGCGGTGGAGGAGACTGGTGCTCTCTGATACACTTTACGTTCAGTTTTTAAAGGACTACATTCTCTATATATATTTATCTCCTCGTCATCGTGTCAACACGTGGTCACCAGACCAAAGTCAAATGTGTATTTAAAGTCTGAATCGGCTCTTTCTGTCTTGCCCCTTTGTGAATTTAACCACATATCTACGTAAAAAACCAGGTTCGTCCCAGTTTTCCTCTATGGGTAGATGTTCACTTCAGGCCAAAGGGGACTTGGAACCAGCCATTTACAACTATTTAGAAGGGCCATCTTTCATTACCTACGAAAATAAATCTGACCATACTTTCACTCTTTCCTTCCTCAAATCCTCTGCCTCTCTGTCGTTTTCCTGTAATGATAAGCTGCATGAGCGTGTCCATACTGAGGGTGCAGGAAAAGCCTGTCCTACAAAACAAAAAGTGCATCAAGCAACAAAGCTACATCTATTATTCTTTCCATTTGGCCAGTCAATGACCAAATACACACACAAAAAAAAATATGAACACAAACAATAATACTGCTGATTTCGAATACCCCGTGGTATCCAACTAAAGAATGCAAGCTGTGGAACAATGTATTTCTACCAGCATCTGCTAAAGCACTCTCCTTACTGATGAAAACATTATGAGCTGAAGAATAGAATGGAAAGTAAAGTGGCCCAAAAACACCTAAATTTACATCAGCATGGAGAAAATGCTCATTAAGCTGTCACGATCTCACTTTCCTTCATGGACATCTAATTTATATTTCCAATGTGAGGAACATTCCGAAGTGTCAACCAACGTGTGCTTTTAAGTTAATAATGTTCTTCTTTTCTATTTGGTATACTATATCTAGTGTCATTTTACACCCATCACCATATTATTTTACACAATGAAGGAAAAGCAAACGGTTCTAAGCACCCCAAGGCTAGCTGCGGACCACTGACATCATTTTAACACCATCTGACGTCTTGCACCACATGAAGTTGCCACTTCATGGTGTCTGTTGGGCATATTCAGCAAACCCAAGGGCTGGATGTAGTGCAGCTATTTGATGTAAGCTAATCGGCTCACGTTAAGATAATTGATTAAATAAGGTAGTGTTGGATTAGATCAGTGGGTATTTGGTTAGTACTTTTGGCGTATGCTCAAAAAAATAATATAAATATGAATGAAGAGACCCTCATGCCCTCACTTACCATTAAACATTAAGAAGGAAACCTGTCCCCCTCTCAAGAAGAGAATAATGAGCATAAATGAGCACTAATTCTCTGTAATGGCACCATATGCTATGGGCTGTTGTGTAATCGTATCCACCCCCCACCTTTTGGCTTAATGGATAAAGTACCCTGTTGGCACAGAGAAAAGAAAGTAGCATGGGGTCCCAGCCCTGACTTCACCCCCCCCTAAACACAGGGGCATGGAGCGGTACCACACAAATGAAAGATTAGCAACAAGTCTGAGAATATTCAATCATCTCTTAAGAGATAAGAGCAATCCTCTTACTAAACCCCCAGGGCTCCCCAAATGGGCAGACGGAGAGAAAGAAACAAGAATACACGAAACGGTGTAAACTGATAAATGGTGCCCAATGTGTATGATAAACATCTCAGTTTGGTCGTCCTTTAACCAGAACAGAACACTTAGTCAAACAGACTTCATCATAGCCCACCTCAGAATGATCTCACCACCAGGTACCACAAAGAAAACAATACTCTGCCATGCAGAATGTCCTCAATCTTAGCCATAAGGGCTTTATCCTTAACCTTTTTAACCCCTTACTCTATATCTCTCTTCTTTCATCTTGCATCCCTCCTACTCTGTGGGAATCCATGTGCATCCAAATAAAAGGCCACTGTCCATGCATTTGCAACCTTTGTCTTACATCTACAACGCTTAATATACATGTAATGAGAAACAATATAAACAAAAATATATGGAAAATAAGTGGGTTGCATCATGTGGATCTTGAGCTCATTGATTGGTTTCAAGGGAATCATCACTCTGAGGATGCAAACAAACAGATGCTCACACAGATTGTACAATTACTAACACAATCTGCACATATCTTCTATTAATATACTTAAGTCTTAAGTACCCATGACCCAAAACTGATCCATAGAAGAGTAATGAACAAATATTTGCAGTGGCACAGTAAGCTGATTTGACCCGAGGCAGTGCTGGGACTGAATGGACTGAATGGACTGAAAGCAGCCCTGCCTCTTGAATTGTCATCAGAAGTTTGGTGGATTTGCATGGATTGGCTAATCACAGGTTCAAATCACAGGCGTATTCTTTTATGCATGAGCCAAATATTTATCAAATGAAACAACTTCATAGGAATTCCAAAGTATTAGAGGTACAAACTAGAAAATATATGGGGAAAAAAAAGGTTCTGAAGTTACCACGTTTGCTTCTTTGTATAAATAAATATATAAATGCCATTCTACCTGCATTTACTACATAATTACTTTGGCACTGGGCAATGCCATCACAAGTGATTTGAATTTGTATCAACAGGCGGAGAAGATCTGTAGGTGGAAATGAACTTTGACACATGCCTCCAGCATCGTCCTGTCTCAGAGCATTTCAGTTGTTCACTCGTCAGTCTTTCCACATTAAGTGCTGTGCTTTTTCGGCCTTCCAACTTGCTTGTAGTCCTTGTGAATGCTGTCTTTTTGAGGAGGCACTTGGGAAGGGGGCATCCCAGCCTACAATGGCTGTGACCACAGTGTCCTGTTTTCCTAGCTGGCCAGCCCAATGTTTAAAGGTTCTCCTCCTTGCCCTTGTCTCCGTATTATATAAGGTTGATGAAGTTACAGTTGGATCCATCGTTCAGTTATTGCATTTCCAAAAACTGCAGAGATGTTTTTTTTTCCTCTCTCTCTCTCTCAGTCTCGTAGTTCTCACATATACTAATGGTAGAGAGGACCTCTATAATCCTCTTTATCAAAGCACCAGAGAAATATAGGTGGAGAGAGAGGCACACAGGGTATCAGCACCCAAGGCTGGCAGTGTCTTTCAACATGAGAAGTTTTCCAGAGGTGTTTCAAAGAATCCTCCCATATTCTGTCCAAATTTTTTGCAACCAGAACTAGACTGACCCATTTCCAATGATGGCACCAGCTCCCAACCTGCCATAGTAGTTCTTCTCTCGCTGATCTTAACCATCTTGGGGAAATTGTGCATTGCGAATGGCTAAGACTGGACCCGAAGTTGTGGATTCGGGTACTTGGTAGTTTGAGGCTACATCTGGAGAGGGCCTGGAGGAATGAATCATCAGACATGCAGAGGAGGAAGACCATGTAGGATTTAGAATAAGCATGAGATTAAAGAAAGTGTATTGAGCACAGTGCTGTAGGAATTTCTGGCACATAGAGGACTATCCAACAGTGGTCTAGGAGTCCGGCTTTAGCTTGTGAGTCATTATGGGTTAGGACAAGATGTGGGTGAAGAGGGAGGCATACGGCAGTTAGGATTTTCCTTCAGGTACAGTATCTGAGTCTGTGAACCAAACTTTCACAGGGGTCAATAGTTGACCTTAGTGATTGGCCTTTCACGCCCTCCGCTCTCCACCAGCTGGTTGACTGAGCGCTTGCGGTTGCGTTTGAGCTTCGAGAGGTCTTTATCAAACACTTCTCCCGAGCGTAGGGCCGACACCAGGTCATCAAACTCGCCCACTTCTTCCGACACACTTCCTGCACTCTTTTTGGCCCTTCTCTCTCGCTCCCTCTGCTCCTTCAACTGGGGACACACACAGATATGGGCGACTCATTAACAGACATCAAACACACACACAAAAAAGTTACTTCTATTCAAAACCGTATCAGATCAAGCACTTTTATAGCACATAAGACACGTGTAGAGTGTTCTGATATGTACCACACAATGGTGTGTCATCTGCAAAGCTATGGAAGCTGCTATGGATTCCATGTTTATGAATCACAGTAACTTCTAGAACGGAAATAGGAGTGGGTCTAGAACAGAACCTTGTGGGACACCATACTTTGCCACGGTATGTACAGAAGATCTGATGTTTAACTTTACAAACTGACAGTGGTCAGTCAGGTAGGATCTGAACCAGAAGAGGGCCATTCCTATGACCCTAAAATTTTCATAGCCTGTCTAGTAGTATTGTGTGATTTATGCTGTCAAATGTCACACTAAGGTCAAGAAAGAACAGAAAAGCTATGTAGCCCTAGGTATCAGGGTATTCACAGTACTTAGTAATTTCTG